ATGTGAGTATTAAGTATTTAAGTAAACCTAAAACATTGGTCCCCGCGCAGAAATGTGATATTGTATCCGCTTAATAGCGAAATGCACGTTTGGCAAGTCTTAAAACAAACGCAAAATCAAAAAACCCAATGCAGTGGTGATGGGTATATTGGGGGGGGGGGGGGGGTCTATAAGAATTATTACAAGTTGAAAAATATGTAAATTTATCGGTTGTTTTTATCGATTTCCAATATCAAGGTGTATCATTTTTTTGTGTATACAAGTGTCCCACAATGGGAACCGTTTTAGTATGTAGGCAACGACTGAAATTTAAATTATTAAGAAAAAAAAACTGCCGTACTTACAAATAAGAAATTAACACGTATGTATAATGTATATATATTATATATATACAGGGTTACCCAAAACGGTTTGACAAATGAAATAACTTTTGTTCTAGTGAATATTTTTAAGATTTTTGTATTTTTAAATAATTTATTATTATTTGCGCTATAAGCACCACGGTTTTTAATGCACTTAACTATTTTACTTTTTTAAATTATTTCTATGAATCTGTGTATATTGGACCCCACTTTGGTTATTTATTACTGTGCAAAAAAATTAATTATTTCCCAATATACTAATAGGTTTCATAATATTAACATTCCAACGAAGTATCATTCATTCTAGGGTTATTGATGGCAAAAATTAGCACAGTGGTTTAAGGGGGGTATTTAATTCGAAATTGATTTAATCAATTTCAAACGCTTCGATGCAATTTGTATACAGGGTGATAATTTTAACGTGTTCCACTCAATATCACTATATATCACTAATATTAATAATAATCCAACATTTAGCTAACCCTTATGGCAATAAAATAATAATAAAAACCTTTAACCGTAAAAATTGTATACTCTCCGCTTATGGCAGTTATCACACGCATTATTTTTGCAGGTTCCACTTTGTCTGACTCAATTGGTTATTTCGTTGATTTATTCAGTTCTAACGACTGTGTATAAATGAATCATGTAACACAGAGTAATATGCACATGCACTATTACTATTTACAACAACCAAATTACTTTTATGATACTCTGTCAATTATTATTTAAATAAGGTTATAGTATCAACATTTATGCTTTGACAAACTTTTAACTTTTTAGTTTTGATTCATAGTAAAAAAAAACATATAATCTTACTTGAAAATCAAAAGTTGATAACTTGATAAACAATCCGGGTGGGGTTATAGTATGGAAACTAATGAAAAATCGAGATCAAACTGTATGAAGAAACCCTAACATGGTTTAATGTGTCTGGTCTAAGTAAAATGTAATTGTATGTATGGATCTGGATTTGTTTTAAGACTTTTTTTTAAAAAATACAAGGTAGGATAATGTCTAGAGAAATGTAATTGAAAGCACAACTGTTTAATATAAAAACAAATTAAAAAGCGAGAGAAAAAATTTAATGTTTAACTAGCACACTTGTTGATGAACAGATTAGATTGTCAGATTAGGTTTATTTAATTATTAGATTGATGAGAGAAATAAAGCGTAAACAAAATTATTACTGCTTCTAGCTGTCGTACATCATAAATACAAAATTCAGTTGAAGAAATCAAACCAACCGAACCTTGTTTAAACTGAGCATCAGCTGTTACGCTTGGTAGAAATCGATTGTTATTTTATTGCATAAAATACAAGTGGGTAAAATTATTCAACGATGTATAATAAATCCTTTTGTTCTTTACTTTATCAAGCAGGTGGTTGCATATTGTTAATAATTAACATATTTACTGTGCAAAACAAATACAAAATTAACTTCTTGTAAAATTTAAAAACTTTTCATATATTTGCTCAACAATATTTTCTACGTTAAGCTACATGATGATTACGATGGATATTTTCTACGGTTTTTTTGGGGGCCAAACGTTATATAATATAAGTCCAAATCAACTACACAATAATAAGCAATAAAATAATTTGTAATTAATTAATACTATTACAATAAATCTTCGGAGGATGTAACTGTTGCATTTCAGTGGGCGCCCGAAGCAATAGGGGTGAAATAGTTATCGACGTTCGTCTTTATGAATGCTATTTGGGCCTTCAAAAACTCTTCTAGAATGTTGGATTTCGGGTCAATGTTGAACAGGTTAACGCATCCTATGTCTACGAACCCTTCCAAGTAACGATACGTGTTCATAAATATAGTGCAGTCCATTTGAAATCGTGCCACATCTTTAGGAGCAATGATAAGTGAATAGGCGTATGGTTCCAGGATTCTTTTTAGATGTTCGACCGGCGTACGAGGAATGGAGAGTTGATGGAATTTTTTATTGATTTTGTACAAACAGGGTGTCAAGATGGTCGCTAACAGCGTCGGGGGTGTTAGCGATAAGCCCGCAATGTACCGGGCGAACATACTAATTTGGACTAGGAGGACTACGCCAACGCTCTCCACGACGTTTATAATTCTCAACGATTTTTCCTTGAACGGGAATTTAGCCGTCGTGTCGCCACAGATTTCGACCAAAGTCTTATCTACGACCGATATACGGTAGTCTTGGAACTTGGCAGTACCTTTGTACAGCATATCGATACTCGTGATGGGCTGGAACAACCGAACTTGACTCGAGTCTGTCACAGTGTAAATAGTCCCATCGAGCATACTCAAGTTGACAAACTCGTGGCATAGCCTGATCAAATCGCCCACTTGGTGTTCTTGTATGTTTTCAATTTGCACTGGTATTTCAACACTATCAAACAGCTTTGGCCAGGCGCACAGACAAACCGTTATTATAATCGTTCTGATGGTAACACACGTCATATTGAAAACTAACAAAATCGGCCGACCACCCGATGGACAAAAAGCGTTTAAATAAAAAATAAAATCGCACAATACACAATAATTATAATGTGATGGTTTGTCGGGTCGCAATAAGTATTTTTTAATACCGTTACAATGTCTACACCGCGCTCGGTTAGTCGATAAGATTTTTATTTAAAATTTCATTTAACATTATACATTTAAGTTTGTTCAAACGAGAATATATAAAACACATTTTCTATAGTAAATATTAATAATATAATCACTATTGAATTTCGATTGTAACACAAAAAAAAAAAAAAAATTGTGACAAGCTAAAATAAAAAAACCAAGCCTGTATTTACAGACAGCTAAAATATTTTAAAACGTGTATTTTCTTTTAATTTCAATATAAAAGACATCGTAACAAATGTAATCGAGGTCGCTGATTCCGAATTGGGCATTTGTTTTTCACTTGCACTCTTTACTTTAGTATAATACTCAAAATAGCTTCATCCGACCATTTTTAGCTATGTTATAGTTTAAGTTAAAGTTGAAAGTAGAAAAAACAGCAAATTTTTTAAGATATTAAATTTTTTATTTAATATATATTTTGTTGTATGATGGAAAAATATAATTTGATGGCAGCTAAAATATTGATACCTTCATCATTCTGTCGAACCCTTTTTATGAATAGGTTTTCTGCAACTGTTATCTCATTCAATTCATGTTAATAATTTTTTTGGTATATTTTTAAAGCCAATAAAATTAATTTCAAGTTAATGGTTTCCAAATAACCAATACACAGAAACTACAGGCTTGTTTAATATTTCAAATATTTAAAAAAAAATATGAATACTCTCCAATTATTTTTCACAAAGGTTTTATATTTGAAAAAAAGTATTTCTTTTTTTACATTTTGATTCCAAAGCGTTTCGGGTGAATCCTTATGTATAAATCAATAAAACTAACATCTTAATAAAAAATTATTTGGACACTTATGTTGCGCTAAAAAAGGATTATAACACAATTATATAACACAAATTAAACTAACTAACTACACATTATTTTTAGTCTCTAGAGAACCGAAGAATATTGACAATTTAGGGGAAATATAACAATTCTACATAATGTCATAACAAGTGAATAAACTAGTAAATAAATTGTTTTCTACATACTTATCGAATACATGATAGTTGTATCTGTTTGAAAAAAGCCAACACAGCTGGGTAGAGGCATAATGAGAACAAAGAGGTCATAGGTTTACTATAACTAAAAATGATTTTATCACTTAAGCTATAAATCTTCACCTAAAAAAGAAAAATATCTACCCCCCTTAGAGGAGAGTGTTTATGACATTTTTATTAGTTTGTCGATGATAATATTTTCAAAGAATATTCCATAGAAATTTAAAACTAATTTGACTATTTTTTAAAGAAAAAGGTATAGAGCGCCTTAGTTTTAAGTTGAGAAATATGTAAATTGTTTGGGTGTTTTTCACAATTTTGAAGGGGGGAGGGGTTTACTTAAAAACTGTATATAGCAGCAATAATATAAATAATTTACTGTAATTTCGATTTTAATCTACAGGTAGAGTTTTGTTGTTATTAAAGAGATATTAGGTAGAATATAGTTCTATATTCTACCTAAATTTTTAGTAAACCTGTATATTTTATAGAAGAGGATAGACTTGTTTTATCTGGAAAAACGTTATTGAAGGCGACGGTGATAATCTAAAATTAAATTTAAAAAGTTGCTACCAACAAAGAGTCTTATATAAGAGCTATTATCTAATCTATAATTTAAAAGTTCATAAGTTCTAGGGAAAGCAGTATTGAAAAAACACAGTTTTCCTATTAGATTTTTTAATTAGTAGCGCCTGTGTATGAATTTTAAAGCTACTATTCAATTATTTACATTTGGTCATTTATAGTAATACAAATTGGCCATTTAAACATGTGATTTTTTCTCATCTTCAAAAGACAACAAAAATTGTTTATTCATATATTCGCTACCAACGACATTATTATTATTTGTTTTTAAATAATGATTTTGTACTATAATAATAATTGTGTTATAGGTTATATGTTAGTTTTTAGTGTTGCTTTCATACCTACAAAGAGTTTTTACAGACTTATTAAAATCTGTGTTTTTTGTTATACATTTCTGTTAAGTATTGCTAGTAGCCGAAAATGTACTGTGCATCTGACATGGAAAATCCTGTGATATCAGATAATTTTCTTTTAGAAAACATTTTATCGCAGTTAAATGAATTGGAAAGAAAGAAAACCGTTAAAGAAGTGCCGAAAAATCCTAAAAAGTCGGTAGGTAAATACACTTTACAATTTATTAATGTTTTCCTTTTATATATTTGGTTTGGTGTTACTTTTCTGGTTTTAATAAAAGTAACATAATTTATAATTTTCAACCTAATAAAATACCAAACCTACAAGCGAATATACTCATTCGTCATAAAAAGATCCCTTTAACATATCGTCAGGATGATTACAGAAGATATTGCACGCTCAGATAAATACATGCCAGACCAAAAAGTTATAGATAAAATAAGGTTATTTATGTATTTAAAAAATAGTGCAAAAAAACGTTAAACAGTGAACTTAACAATAAGTAAAACTGAGGTTCTATTCCTTTTATCTTTAGTACAATTATTTTACTGTAATATGCCTAACGTAGGCTGTAATATGCCTAACTGAAAACAAAACAATTGTACAAACAGTTATGTCGAGTTCATTTGAGGTTTTTAAAATTAAAAAATATATATATACATTTTTAATCGACGTTCAGTCCTAGAAAACGCCTATAAAATTATTTAAATATAGTTTATGATACCTGTCACTATTTTCAGCGCATGTGTGTGTGTTTTTTTTACAATGCTATTTTTTTTTTTTGACTTGGAATCGACCAAGAAAATTTGTGACATTTTTTGCGCCACGCTAAACCTTCTCCCCTCCCAATTTCGTTCCAATCGTTTTTCTCCCTTTCCTGTCCCTGACGAAGCATAAAAACGTTATCATAATTCTACTCACGCTTTGGCTTTAGCTGAAAATCTCGAATTGTTTTTGATTGACATAGGTAAGCGCTCGGGAAGTACGCATAAAACGTGAAACGTTCCGTTCGAAAATAATCAGCGCTTATGCAAATCACCTGGAACGAAAATCGAAAAAAAATATTCTGCTGCAATACTATTACTTTATCAAGTATGGCGCCGATGTGGACGCAGGATCGTTGGCCCCCATTGGTGAAACCACACTCGAAAGAATCATCGGTCGCGTACCTGAAAAATTCCACAATTTACCTTGTCTGTTGGCGTACAGAGATCAGATACTTAACGTGAGTTGATGGCCAATCTAAAATTCGTCTAGGAACAAATGTTGGCATTTCCAATACATTTTTTACTCATACATCATTTCAAGATAGGCCACTAGTAACACTGGCAAAAAATCCCTTCATAGAGTTTAGTCTTCAAAAAGATACATTGAAATAATTGTAAGCCCACTGTAACTCACAACCTAGTCGAGTACAGTCCCTAGAATCTACAGGTTATTTTAGTTTTGATTTCATCAAAACCGGCTCAGTACTTTAAGCGAAAAATGGGAACATTCATATATAAATAGTATTTATTAAAATAATACATTACACCTAAACAAATGACTATCTGAGATAAGAGTGATTGCAAATCAACCTGAGAGTATTTGAAAGTACAAGCCACAGTTTCATTGGGACGGGATTCCTCGAATGTAATGAGAGAACGACCCATATAAAATGTTATTCGCATAAACATTTTGTTACCCGCTTGACCTTTGCAACAATTATCGACCCGTTAAAATGTCTCGAGATAACGAAAACACCATTTTCGATAGGAATGCTATTTGATAGCCACGCAAAAAGCGGTGATATCGTTTTCTCTGATGGATTTGTACGAATCGCATCAGGAACTAACGTCGATGGACACCCCCGTTGAAATTGAATTGCGGCAGAACGCACCATTGTGGAAGAACTCAATAGCCCGTGCCAAGTCGACCCTCACCAGAAACCTGTTGCACACCAATCCCACGATAAAAGCTATGCTTAGGCTGTGGTACAAGAATTTCGAGTAAGTTGTGCGAAATTAAAATTTTTAACGACCAAATCGAACGAAAAAATTGATTTCCCGATGGGATATATTCTTTATCTTCGACGCCCGACAATAATGGTTCCGTTGATGGATTTCCAGACACACGGAAATGTTTAAATTTGAAAAAATGAGAAAAATTGATTCAAAATGTACTCTAAGTGAATTTCAGACCTTCATGAGAACTACTTTGACTATAGCCAACATAAATATGCGTGAAAGATGGCTGCACAGCGTTGTTGAATTGTTCAAAAAAGTAAAATCAAGTTCGGCTGATCCTATATACCTAGTAATGTATTGTTGTTAAAATGTTTAATTATGTTAACAGCCGAGATACAGCAATCATGTTCCGAGTGTCAATAATGTCAAAAGGCAAAAGATTTTTTTCGATTACATTGCTTTTACAATGGGAAAGAAGTATCGAGAATACATAGAAAAAAATATCATTGAGTTCACTAAACTCATGTGCAACTCGGAGGTAACGTATCCTATCTATGAGACTTAATGTGTAACATTTCCAAACACACGTAGACTTAGTTTAAAATTTTGTGGTAGAATGGAAAAATTTCATGTATTATTGTTAATTTTAGTATCAATTAACTACTTGTATTTATTTTCCCGAAAAAGTGATGTTTTTCAACCAACGACAGGATATAGTCTACATTAAACTATACTCAAAATACACGATGGTAGCTCATCTTACTGCTATTGTTTAAAAACGATACACGTTTACCTATATTATAACCATTTAAAAAAGTTACTTTTAAGAAGTTGGCTTGTTTCTAAAGGTACATGAAGGTTTCGTGATAAACGTGGTCTTTAGAAATAATAGGTTCCAATTCATTCCGTCTTATGAGAGAATGTTACATTTTATAATGTCAATCTACGAATCGCTGGCAAGCATATCGTTTGGCTTGGAACGCTTTGAACATCACTTGTACAATAATTGCTCGACGTCAAAATACACCCAGGTACCTGGACCTAATAGTTACATTATTATATCGTCACGAAATTCAAATATTAGATTAGTGTTAGGTTGGTTTTAAGTTAGATTTGTTAGGTGTGTTTATTTTAACACAATGGCAGTTTTTTTAGTACTACTTTTATTAGCTGCCTTATTAATTATTTCATCTTAATCTACAACGTTCAACCCTTTCTCAATACTTCCTAACCATAGAATTGTCATGCACGTTAGATCTCACCACTCGACCACCCACTGATTTTCTACCAGTCGTACCATCATTAGTATGTAGTTGTATAATTTTTCATCAAGGTCGAAATGGACGAAAATATCGTAGAAGAGCAACAGCAAATACTGAAAAATTACTTGGACACATTTTGGCAAAAAGCGCATGCTTACCTGAAGACGATCGACGGCTATATCTTCTTGGTCAACGGAAAAGCCACGGAAGACGTTCATAGGTTTTTATCCGAAGACAACAATTTCGAAAACTATAAAACGTACGTTGTGAGATACGACAAAATCGAAACGGATATACGGCTGAAAATAAACCCGGAAAAATTAATTGGAATATTAGAATTGCGTACGGCGAACACTATCGATATGCTCTGTAAACAGGCATCGTTATTGAAATTTATGCTTATCGACCGATTAAAGTCGGTTTATTTAGCCGAAGGCAAGAAGTAAGGCACCCTACATAAATATAATTGCTTACCTATGTACATTAAAGATAAACGTACATTGTAAATACATGTTTTTATAAATGTACATTGTACAGGGTGATTCACTAACTATGAACCAGTCAATATTTCACAAGATCTAATCGTATAGTAAAAATAAAAACCATATAATAGTGTTAGATAGATGTACTTGTAGTGCACATACGAATAATATTAAAAATATTTAGTGATGATTTATAAAACTGTACAAAAAATTTATCATCAGAAAAGACGCATTAGTTTAAGGCATAATGGCGAAAAATAATATGTTTAATATTATTCATTAGCAAATTCGCTCTACTCAAATTTCTATTCAAATATAAGTACTAATCCTAATTCCCTAATAAAGCAACTATCCTCGGCCTCCCTTAACGATAATGCTCCCAGAAGATTAAAAAGAAGATGGCCTATGAGATCTTGTACACTAACACAAATAGAAAGAAAAATAATGTGTCAACTTCTTAGCCGGGTGACACTGCTGAGTGTCTGGCCATAAACGTTAATTCCAATGTTATGTGTATAATTTTTTACATCAAATATGTTTAATGTACTTACTGTTTAGATTGTAAATATATTTTTTAATGAAAAAAAATATATTCATAGATGCACTTCAAGTACTCAAACTATCATGTATTTTTTGTTTTAATATATGATTGAATCTTATGAAATATTGACTGGTACATACTAAGTGTATTATCCTCAATTTTTATTTAGGTCCCAGAGTTATATCCAATATAATTAAAATTTAAAACACCCATTTTAATTGTTTGGTTATTTAGCTAATAGAGCACTACGATAGGCATTGCTTTGAGGCATGTGGTTTAATCGTTCAATTTCGTTGATATTTTGTAGACTTGCGTTTTTAGTACTAAAATTAGTGTGTGTGTGTGTGTGAGGGGGGAGGGGTAGAACACGCATCAGCATATAAATCGGCGTAAAAAAAATTAAATAAGAGTAGACCTAATGACTAATAGAATACATAAAAGTTGACATTTTTACGCTCACTAGCGACGTCTGAAGATTAATGTTTTAAACAAATTTAAGGCTACGCTATACGAATTTTTTGGGTCAGTTTAATATACATTTCAATAGACATCTTTACTCGCTCATAAAACATATTGTTGTATTTATAGGTTATGCGAACATTACTCGGCCGTGCAGGCTATTGCGTTGAAACCGCCAAAGAACACCAACGAATTGATGAAGCTCAAAGATTACACGATCGATCTGAAAGAAAACAGTGTCTACGAAATGGAGCATAGGTCGAATTCGATTTTCGTCTATCAGTTGTTTTTACTGGATTTCGCAGTGTTATCCGCGGAAGAGCTGAAACAGAACACGTTGATATTTCAATGGGTCGAATACATCCATAAGGTGATCGCGGAGAGCATGAAAATGATCGACGTGAAGCTAAAGGAACTAAGAGAAAACATGGTACAACGAGCCAGGAAGTTTCGGAGTAATTTGGATAGCTATCAGAGAGACGCGGAAGAGCTGGAACACAACGGCGACATAAACAAGTTGGGCGCGTACGTGGAGAAAGTGCGGTTTTTGGACAGTAAACTGACGGAAGCCTTGCAAATTATCGACGATTTAAACGAAGAAGAGAGACATTACAAGATGCGGGAAAGCATGTACCCGCTCAGGTCAAAAGTAAAATAATATACATCATAATACAATAGCTGTTGTTGGCAATATTAGGTATTAAGAGGGCGTCGCACCGCCCATTTTTTAAGGAGTAAAGTATAGGCAATTTTTTACAAAATCTTAATTTGAAAAGGTTAAACTGTGAAGTGTTAGTTCAATAACTAGGACTCTATTTTGGTAGTTAATTTATTTTTTGGACTATCACAGCATCCTTAAAAGCTATTTAAAATGTTTTTTCATCTCAACTTGTTTAAGCAGACTGAAAATAACTCGCCTAATTTTGGATTGAGAGTAAAAGCACCCATTATAAAATTAAAAGAAAACAATATTTCGGAGGGCAAAACGGTGCGTTTTTTTTTCATATTTTTAAGTATAACGCTCAATACATAGTTTAGAAATAATGACTATTTTAACATTTTTAAACGACTGTAACTTTTAAAAAAATGAATTTTTAAAAAAAAACGTACCGTCTTGTCTTTCAGAATATTGTTTTCTTTTCATTTTATAATAGGTGCTTTTACTCTAAACCAAAATTAAGCAGTTATTTTCAGTCTACTTAAACATGTTTTTACCACTGAAAATCACCAGTTCGACGCTCTCTTAAGCAAAATTAAAATCACTTAAACGCGACAATGTTGATAATGTATAGACCGCCGAATTGTTGGCTCCGTATAAAAAATTGTATGAAAACTGTAACGATTTCATTGTGAATCAAGATAAATGGTTAACCGCCAAAATCGGCACTTACGATCCGGAACTGATCGACCAAGACGTAGGCATATACTATCGGAACGTGGTAAAAGCCGAACGCACTTTCATGGATCGTCCAAAGCCGTTGTCTATAGCGAATAAAGTAAACCCTAGAGTAAACTGCGGGCTTACTGTTTGTCTGATGTGTATGTCTCTCGTTTAGACGAGAGAGTCGATCGAAGCGTTCAAGGAACACATGCCCGTGATATTGGCGTTGGGAAACTTGGGGTTAAAAGACCGGCACTGGGAAGAAATATCTAAAATTGTCGGATTTCAATTGAGCCCCAGTCAAAAATTGACTTTGGGAAAAATAATAAATTACAAACTAAACGACTATGTGCCTCGATTCGAGATAATTAGTGACGAAGCTTCGAAACAGGCCAATTTGGAAAAAAGATTAAGACTGATGACAGACGATTGGAAAAATGTGGTTTTTACTGTTATACCTTACAAGTGCGTACAGAAAACTGTTTATTTACTAAGCATCAACTCTTTGTTCGTGTAAACATGTAAGCAAATGCTGTTTCAGGGATTCTGGAACATTCATTTTGTCGGGGATTGACGAAATTCAAGTGCAGTTGGATGATCATATTTTAAAAACCTCCACGGTGAAAAATTCGCCGTTCATAAAACCGTTCGAGGCAGAGACAACGTATATAATTTAATTGTTGTAGCCGCAATAACCGCTCTCTCGGCGTTTAACTATATGTATTGCGTTACATTGCAGAGCTTGGGAGGCTAAATTGCACGCTTTAAATAAAATATTGGAATACTGGGTCAAAGTACAATTGGCGTGGATGTATTTAGAGCCGATATTTTCTTCTCCAGACATACAAGCTCAAATGCCGGACGAAGCGAGTAAATTTAACGCATCCGATAAAGTAAGTTATTCTTTCCACAAATCGAAGTGGCATCGTTTCGAAATGTTCAATACTATTTTTAATTTTAAAATACACAAATAAGCGATGCATATTATAGTTTATGAATGGGCGGTGGTACGACGAAGGAGCTTCTGTTCAAGGCAGGAATCCCGCATAAAATAGGTTGCCGTTCTTGTGTATAGTCCCGTTTATTTGAATATTTAAAAATCATGATATGAACACGTTGAAACCAGTTTTAATAATGATTCCGTTCACGAAACTAGGTGTGGAGAGAGTTGATAAAAGACGTTATAAAAATGAAAAGTGTTTTGAAAGCAACCGAAATAAATAATATATTGGAAAAGTTAATGAAATCTCACGAACAACTTGACATAATACAGAAAGGTTTAAATAGTTATTTGGAGAAAAAACGACTTTACTTCCCGAGGTTGTTCTTTTTGGGAAACGAAGAGCTGCTGGAAATTCTTTCGGAGACTAAGGATCCTAAACGAATGCAACCTTATTTGAAAAAATGTTTCGAAGGCATCAACGAAATAGCGTTTTCGGACAAATTAGAAGTGATCGATATGATATCCAGCGAAGGAGAAATCATACGTTTGTCGGTGATGATCGACACGTATAAAGCTCGTGGTCAAGTCGAGAAGTGGCTGGTCGAATTGGAGGCTTCGATGAAAAAAACCATACACGATGTGATTGAAAGAGCGTTGTTGGCCTACGGGAACACTCCGAGACATGAGTGGGTGTTACAGTGGGCCGGGCAGCCGGTTTTGGCCGTTTCGTGTACATATTGGACCACGGAGGTGACACACGCAATTTTGCATCATCCCAAAGGGTTGCCTAGATATTTAGAAAAAAGTAATGACCAAATCGAAAAAATTGTCAACTTGGTTCGCGGTATACTACCGGTACAAACGCGAAAAACTTTGGGTAAAGTGTCAAAGATAAAACAAAAAAAAAAACGTATATTAAAAGATAAAAAAATATTTTCAATCGTTTCGATTTGTGATTTCCCAGAAGCGTTAGTGGTCATTGACGTGCACGCGAAAGACGTCGTTGAAGAATTGAAAGTCAAGGAAATTTACAAGGTCAACGATTTTAATTGGATCAGCCAATTGCGTTATTATTGGATAGTACGTCAAAGTGAAACTTCAAATTGTATCTTTAAACTAACCCGTATTTTTATGTCGCCACTCAAGGAAGACAATTTGATCACGTTCATGATCAATGCCTCGCTGGACTATGGCTACGAATATCTCGGCAATTCCAAACGACTCGTGATAACTCCACTCACCGACCGCTGTTACCGGACTCTGTTCTGCGCTCTGCAGCTAAATTTGGGCGGAGCGCCCGAAGGACCGGCGGGCACGGGCAAAACAGAAACTACAAAAGACTTGGCCAAAGCAGTAGCTAAACAATGCGTTGTTTTCAATTGTTCCGACACTATGGATTACGAAGGCTTAGGACAATTTTTCAAAGTAATCATTATTATACGGTAATATTTTTAGGTCAACCGAGAAAATTTGTGAGATCTCTTGTTACACGCTAGATCATCCCTTCCAGCTGATAAATGATAAGAGACAAAATGCCAACTGATCATATACTTTCATGAAACCCTTCACTTTTGCTCCCTCCTCCTTTCTTCTCCCCAACCAATCCTACAAACATTATCATGATGCATTAGCATTTGTAGCTTTAGCTCAAAATAATCTAATTTCGATATGGATACATCTTTTTGATTTTGTATCTTAAAATATGACTGAAACGGTCAGGACAGCGAATAAGGGAGGAGTGGGAATTTATCGAATCTAAAAACAATGAGACTTGGCTAATCAAAAGACATGTGTTAAATCTAATGTTATACCTTCACGGGAATGATTGACTCAATTTGTTTTTAATTAACTGATTAATGATGCTTTACCCTTTTCACATTTTCGTCCTTCTAAGGGCCTGTTGTCGTGTGGCGCTTGGGCGTGTTTCGACGAATTTAACCGTATCGACTTGGAAGTATTGTCCGTGGTAGCACAACAAATACTCACCATTCAGCGTGGAATTCAGTCGGGAAACACAAAGATAGTGTTCGAAGGATCTAATTTGATTTTGGATAAAACGTGCGCCGTTTTTATTACCATGAATCCTGGATACGCGGGACGTTCCGAATTGCCGGACAACTTAAAAGTATTTAATCGTAATTTCATATACATAGGTTAGGGCCATTGGGTCAATTGGACGTTTCTTTTTTTCATCGGAATGAACGTATTTCCCTACTGTAATACAATAAAGTATAACCGAAATGTCAATAGAAACGATGGTTACTTTACAATAACTTCCTATAATAAGTTATTCTTGGGCGTGTTGACTATATTAAGGCGTTATTCCGTTCCGTGGCGATGATGGTGCCAGATTATCGACTGATTTCCGAAATAGAACTATACTCTGTTGGATTTAGTGCAGCCCGGTCGTTGTCAGTAAAAATCGTAGCGACGTACAAATTGTGTTCCGAACAGCTTTCGTCGCAAAACCATTACGATTACGGTTAAGTCGTTGTTGTAACAGTTGATGTCATTTTAACAATTTCTATGGCAAAATTTATACCGTTGCTGTAATGAATTGCAGGGATGAGAGCGGTCAAAACTGTATTAACTGCGGCTGGCAATTTGAAGCTTAAGTACCCAGAAGAGAATGAAAACATATTACTGTTGCGTTCTATAAACGATGTCAATTTACCGAAATTCCTGAAACATGACGTCCCTTTATTCAAGGTGAGGCTGATGTTTTTTTAAAGTCTACTTACATTTATAATAAAATGGTTTTAACTCATTTACCAGGGATTAACTTCCGATCTGTTTCCCGGGATTGAATTGCCGACGCCAGACTATAAAATATTCAACGAGGCTGTCGAAGAGTCGTGTAAAATGTTGAATCTACAATGCACGCCTTTCTTTTTAGAAAAAATCCAACAAATCTATGAAATGATGATCGTCCGACATGGTTTTATGATCGTTGGACTTCCGTTTAGTGGAAAGACATCCGCCTACAGAGCTCTCAGTGGTGCGTTGAGAATTGTTGAAGAAAGGGTAACAATAATATTTTAGTAATCATTAACCACATTATTGTCTAGTTTTTAAGGAAGTTAAATCATTTGAAATCCTTTACTTAAGTACTTACCAAAGTGCTATATTTGATACAAAAAAAAAAAAAAAAAGATTAATAGATTAATAAATCGCTGTCTAGCTATGTGATATGTATCTAAATTACTTAATTTAGAAACTTATGGATGAGCATAAAGTTGAAATAACAGTGATAAACCCAAAGTCAATAACTATGGGCCAACTATACGGACAGTTCGATCCGGTATCACATGAATGGTCTGATGGCGTTTTGTCAGTAGGATTCAGAAATTTTGCTTCCTCCACAAATCTCAATCGAAAATGGTTAATTTTTGATGGCCCGGTTGACGCGATTTGGATTGAAAACATGAACACAGTTTTGGACGATAATAAAAAGTTGTGTTTAATTTCTGGCGAAATAATACAGCTGGCTAAAACTACTAATTTGATTTTTGAGCCTATGGACTTGGAAGTAGCGTCTCCGGCCACGGTAATTCTATTGGGTACAATATACCAATGTACTTCTTCTCGGCTCTTTCTTTATACTATCATTGTGTACAAATATAGGTATCTCGATGCGGTATGATATACATGGAACCCGTTTCGTTAGGTTGGGAATGTCTCGTTCATTCGTGGATAAATTTAATAGCGTCGGGTATTGACATAGTTTACAAACTGATGTTACAAAGTATCATTATACGGTTTACCCGGGCTATCTTGTATTTGATACGACGCTGTAACTTGACTGTATTGAATATTGATAAAGGGGTTTCGTTTTAATTGGACTTGATACATACTTCGATATTGCAGGAAATATTCCCTACCAGCGACTCTAACTTAGTGTGCTCCTTGTTGAATTTGTGTGACACTTTTATGTATCGCTATCACAATAAAGATTACTTGGAATCGATTTCTCAGGGTGACCTTAGAGCACAACTCGAAGTAATAATATTTACCAAAAAAATAGTGACAGTAAAAAGTAAACTGATTGTTCTCTACTTATAATTTTCAGGGTACGATACTTTTTTCGTGTGTGTGGTCATTGGGCGCGGCACTCGATCCGAAAAGTCGAATCAAATTCAATCTTCTATTTCGAGCGTTATTGAAAAAAAAGTTCCCCAAAACGGTTGCTCGCGCCTTGGGTCTTCCCCTGGAAGTTTGCCCTCATCCGCAAAGACCTTATTCGAACGTACCTCCCAACGAAGAAACCGTATTCGACTATAGATTTGTAATGGATGCTAAATCCAGGGGAGAGTGGATATTGTGGTCACAATATGTAGCGGAAGAACCGCCCATACCGCAAGGCATACCATTCAACGAAATAATAGTGCCGACCATTGACACGGTTAGGCATAACGTCATCATGTCAATGTTGGTGGCGCACAACAAACCAATGATGTCAGTCGGGAAAACTGGCACTGGCAAATCGGCTTACACTTTAGTAATAACATTTTCTCGATTTTCAAAAACATAATTGAGTCATTGGGTCGTGACAAGTGATCACTTTTAGTTAAAAATCAGCTTAAGTTAAAATCCAAATAAGTTCGTTGTAAAAACGTTTGGTTTTCCACTTACCCAAAAACCCATAGGCACAATTCCAGGAGAGTGAGGCTAAGGAATGTGAGAATTTCCATGAAAACTATGACTATCTTAGTGATTTTGGGAATACAAACAATGTAATTTATACACCTTATATACACCTTATATGGACAATTTATAGACCTTGGATAGCCAGGAGTGTGTGAGCAAATAGCTACTGCTTATTACCATTGTTATTCAAGCATATAATGATTCTGGTTAACACTTTTTGTTGACCCGAATATACCCTAAATGGACAATTTTTTGAACATGCCAAAAATAATGATAATGGCTCATGATTTACCATGGACACCATAAATGTATCACTTCCGGTGAAACGGCCCAATTACACGAATCAATAATAATAGTAACAATAATAATAATTGTCATTTATTTGTGTTTTTCACAGAACTACTTATTTAAGAAGATTGACAAAACCGTGTATCATGCGTCGTTCATTAACTTCTCCGCGCAAACTTCTGCCAACCTCACTCAGGACATTATAATGAGCAAGCTAATAAAAAGAAAACGAGGCGTTTACGGGCCGCTGCCCGGCGCCAAATGTATAATATTTATCGATGACGTAAGCATGCCTCAAAGAGAATACTACGGTGCTCAACCGCCCATCGAGCTCCTGCGACAACTTTTGGACAAGTTCCCTTGGTACGATAGGAAAGACCGGGCTCCGTTGACTCTGCAAGACGTGTTAATACTATGCGCCATGGGTCCACCGTCGTCGGGCAACACCGTGACTCCGAGGTTCAGTCGGCATTTCAACATTGTCGTGACCAATTCGTTCGAAGACGAGACAATGTTGTTGATATTCAGCAAGATATTGCTTTGGCATTTGGATAGCAGGTTTGATGTCATACTGGTATAGAAGTCATTTTACTATTGACATGCGCTAATATGAGTGTTTGACATTTCGGGCGTAGAGGTTTTGCTAAAGAATTCATTCCGTGCGTCAATCAGATTGTCTGCGCTACGCTGGAAATGCATAAAAGAAGCATTGGCTATTTACTGCCCACACCGACCAAATCGCATTATCTATTTAACTTGAGAGACTTTTCTAAAGTCATCCAGGTGTTATTCTTTCAACTAAACAACTATAACTATATTAGCAGTAACGAATATGAGTGTCGTAACTAAATATTTATATACACAGGGAGTCATGTTTTCTGTCCCGGTTACGATTGAGAACGATGTGGCCATGAAACGCCTCTGGGTTCATGAGATGCTCAGAGTGTATTTTGACCGCTTAGTCGACGACTCAGACCGTTCGTGGTTTTTTAGTAATATGTATGTGGTCTGCGGCGAGTTTCTCGATGAAGATATGAACCGCATGTTCGCATATTTAAGCAACGGAGAAATTAAAAAAGTGATAACACCTTTTAAAGTATTGGTTTTACAAAATCGGTCGGTCTAAATGTGCGATAATTAATATAGGTAGGCCAAAACGAACTACGGAAATTGATTTACTGTGATTTTTCCGATCCGAAGGCGTCGAACAAACACTACATTGAAATCCAAGACCTTAACGAACTCCGTTTGACTATCGAAGACTACTTGAAAGATTTCAACAAAATGAGTAAAAAACCAATGAATTTAGTTATGTTTAGGTTTGCCGTTGAACATCTCGCACGAGTTTGTCGGATTTTAAAACAGCCACGTGGCCACGCGTTGCTTGTCGGGCTTGGAGGCTCTGGACGTCAGTCGCTTACCCGACTTGCTGCCCATATATCGGAATACGAATTATTCCAAGTATGAAACGTTGTTGTGTTAAGTGATTGGTCATTGATAAGTGTATTTAATTAGATTCAAATAATGAGTTTATACGGAATGAATGAATGGCACGAAGATTTGAAAGATGTTTTCAAACGTGCAACTGTAGCATTTGATCAACATATAGTGTTTTTATTTACAGATTCCGAAGTAAGAATAAAATACTAGAATTATTTACTATAATGTTTAATGATATCATGTGTTAAGATCAAAGACGAAAGAATGGTCGAGGACATAAATAACTTATTGAATTCGGGAGAGGTGCCAAACTTATTTGTAGCTGAAGAAAGAATAGAAATCTGTGAAAAGATCAGGGCATTGGACAGGCAACGCGATAAAACTATGCAGGTAAATAGCTGTAGATCAAGACGTTTGCGCTCACCTTAACATGTTGCTAATACACTGTTCAAAATCAGACTGACGGGAGTCCTACGGCTTTGTTCAACTTGTTTATACAAATTGTAAGAGAACAACTTCATGTTTCACTGGCGTTCAGTCCTATAGGCGATGGTCTAAGAACGAGAATCCGCAAATTTCCATCGTTGGTCCAGTGTTGCACGATTGATTGGTTTCAAGTAATATATCGGAGCTGATAAATATTAATTTAGTTAATCTTTTTTAATTTTGGAATGTGAATTGACCGATTTAAAAATTAATACATATTTATATAAGGTTTAATTAATTTCTAAGGAATTCAATTTTCCAGGCTTGGCCTTCGGACGCTTTACAAGCAGTTGCCACAAAATTTTTAAGCACTATCGATTTGACAAAACACGAGCGAGATGTTAGCATCAATATGTGTCAAAAATTCCACACGTCCACTCAAGACTTGTCTATCGAATTTGAGGCAAAAGTGAAACGGAAGACATACGTCACGCCGACATCATACTTAGAAATGATTTACACGTTTAAAGATATTTTGGACAAAAAACGACTGTAAGTGTACAAACATATTATACGGTTTACAATTTATAACTATTTTGTTTTTGTTATTATTTCAAATACTGTATTTCAATAGAGAATTACTTACTGCTAAACGTCGGTACGAAGTTGGATTGGAGAAATTGCAGAATGCAGCTAACGATATAGCGGTAATGCAAGTAGAGTTAAAGCATTTACAACCAAAAATTATGGCAGCGGCTGCCGAAGTAGAAGTAATCATGAAACAAGTTGAAATAGAAAACCAAGAAATATCAAAAGTGAAATTGGTGATTAGTAAAGACGAAGAGGAGGCGCAAGAAACCGCAGCCGAAGCACAGGGAATAAAAACCGAATGTGACTTACACATGGAAGCCGCGCGTCCAGCATTGAACGCTGCTCTGGCTGCACTAAACACGTTGACCCCTACCGATATCACATTTGTGAAGTCCATGAAAAACCCTCCTAAACCGGTCAAATTGGTGATGGAAGCTGTTTGCACTATAAAAGACGTGAAACCCGATAAAATCCCAGACCCCGCTCTAGGCAAAATGGTTGAAGACTATTGGGGTCCATCGAAGAAATTGCTCAACGACATGAAGTTCCTACAAAACCTAATTGATTTCGATAAAGACAACATTCCGGATAAAATTATGAAAGTTATCGACGATAAATATATATCGAACCCGGATTTCGATCCGGAAAAAGTAAAAAATGCTTCCATCGCTGCACAAGGTTTATGCAAATGGGTGATAGCCATGTCCTCGTACCATAAAGTAGCCAAAGAAATAGCTCCTAAGAAAATAGCTCTGATGGCGGCCGAGACTATGTACAACAACGCGATGGACGCTCTTAACGATAAACGTGCACAGCTGTATGAAGTCGAAATGAAACTTAAGGCGGTGCAGGATAACCTTCACGCCAACGAAAGGAAAATGGCTGTATTTGAAAACGAAGCGAACGCAGTGAAAATAAAACTTCAACGGGCCGAAGATCTAATCGGAGGATTAGGCGGCGAAAAACAACGATGGAAACAGTCTGCACTTGATTTGGGAGCGCGTTATTTAAATTTGACAGGTAAATGAATAACGAAAATGGTCTGCAGTTTTCAATTAACAATATTTGTTTCCAGGCGATTTATTAGTGTGCTCTGGTGTCATCGCCTACTTAGGGCCGTTTACGATGAGCTTCAGAAGTTATCAGGTTAAACAGTGGGTTCAAGAAATTCTTGAAAATAAAATTGTGTGTAGTCAAGACTTTCAACTGAGTGCAATACTTGGGAAACCAGTGGAAATCAGAGCTTGGAACATAGCTGGTTTACCTACAGACTCGTTTTCCGTAGACAACGGAATTATTGTTTCGTAATGAACTTATTTTTGTATTAATACTTGAAAAATTCCTCCAAAATCATAGCCTACTCACCTACAATTAGTAGTAGGACTTTTGAACAGCATCATTTTATCTGCTTTAGGGTGTTAATTATTATATCTCACAACAAAAAACGATAAAAAATTATGTCACAATAATTAATTTTTTACTTAATTACTTCAGATACTCAAGAAGATCAGCACTAATGGTTGATCCTCAAGGTCAAGCTAATAAATGGGTTAAGAACATGGAAGCAGATAATTCGATATCTACTATACGTTTAAATTCACCGAATTACATAAAAGTTTTGGAGCATGCTATTTCCAACGGTCTTCCAGTAGGATATTATAATAAACCATTAAAAAGTTAAAAAGACTAAAACATACTAAAATTAATTAATTTAAAAAAAAAAAAATAATATAGCAACTAACCTCACTTGTTATTTGACTTTAACAATTCGACATCAACTGTATATGCTGCAGTTAATTAAAAACCTAATTACGAATTTTTTCAGGTGCTTTTAGAAAATGTATATGAAGAAATAGACCCTGTATTAGATCCAATATTGTTGAAACAGATATTCTTAACGAGCGGCACTTATTGCTTGAAACTAGGCGATTCCATTATTGAATACAATGATAACTTTAGGTGAGTAACACCATTTTGTGTGTTTGGGTTATGTTGAATTAATATTGAGGTCATTGACCACAATCGCTCGAATTGATTTCATTCAGATTTTATATAACAACTAAACTGAGAAACCCTCATTATCTACCCGAAGTGGCTGTTAAAGTAACATTGTTAAATTTTGTAATTACTCCTATCGGACTCGAAGACCAGCTTCTTGGTGTAGTCGTGGCTAAAGACAGGCCCGACTTGGAAGCAGAAAAGAATATGCTTATTGTCGAGGGTGCTAAAAATGCTAAGTAAAACAATTGATTAAAGCCTCACCTATTAAGATATTTCGAGTGTTTTAAACCGAATTGAAAAATAACACTGACCTATGTCTATATTTAAAATTATTTTTAAGGACACTCAAAGACACCGAAGATAAAATACTTCAAGTTTTAAGTTCATCCGAGGGTAATATATTGGAGGACGAAGATGCCGTGAACATTTTGAGTTCTTCAAAGGTGTTAGCCAATGAAATACAAGTAAAACAGGCAGCTTCTCAAGTCACTGAAAGAAGAATCGATCAGACCAGACAGCAATACAGAGTAGTCGCCGTGCATTCGACCAAACTGTTCTTTGTCATTGATACGCTTGCAAATATTGATCCCATGTATCAATATTCTCTCACTTGGTTTATAAATTTGTTCATTGTGGCGATTGAAAACAGTCCCAAGTTGCCTGTGATCGAAGAGAGAACCAAAGCGCTTATAAAGTTTTTCACTTATTCACTGTACGTCAGCGTTTGTCGGAGTTTATTTGCAAAAGTATGTGTAAAAACAAAACGTGAAGCTTACGAGTTCTTTTTTAATAAGTACCATCGGACATACGTTAAATTGTTTTTTTTTTTTTTTATAATAAATTGATTATTAATCTAAAACGGTTATTCCTATCCAGGACAAATTATTGCTATCGTTGATAATGGCAATTAACCTATCAGATAAAATCAATATGGAAGAATGGTCGTTTTTCTTAACGGGAGGCATCAGCTTAAGCAATCCTGTAAAAAATCCAATTAGCTGGTTGCAAAATAAAAATTGGGACGAATTGTGCCGGCTTGACGACCTACCAACATTTAAGGTAGTGCGCGGTTAAATTTAACACAGCTTGTTGATTATAAAAATCTGAAAATTTAACAACAAATTCATTTTTGTCGAGTTCAGAGTATGAAAGCTGACTTCGAATCTAAACCGGATAGTTGGAAAGACATTTATAATTCTACAGAGCCACACTTACATCCGTTTCCGGAACCTTGGAACGGGCGTCTCGACTATTTCCAAAAATGCATTGTCATGCGTATAGTTCGATACGATAAAATCGTTCCTGCTATTCAATACTTTATTGCGCGTTCGTTTAAAATTAATTTTTGAAATCGATGTAAGTATTTACTTAGTTTTATATTTTTGCCGGTGTAGATGAATCGGTTCTGGAGGAGAAATTTACAGATCCCCCTCCAATGGATTTGGCAACTACGTTTGAAGTTTCAAATTGTATGTCACCGCTGTTGTTCGTATTGACGCCGGGAGCAGATCCAACCGCAATGTTATTGAAATTTTCAGAAAAAATGGTAAACAATAAAAATTAAACTTGTCAATGCACTTTTTCAATATATACATAATATTCATCGCAGGGGTTTTCAACACGTTTTACGGCTTTGTCTTTGGGCCAAGGCCAAGGACCAATAGCTTCTAGACTTATTGCCGAAGCCACGCGTTTGGGAAATTGGGTGTTACTGCAGAACTGTCATTTGGCTAAAAGTTGGATGCCAAAACTCGAAGCGGTAAAACAAATTATTGGAAAAATATATCTATTCCTACAAACACTGCGGTTTTATGGAAATAATGAAAATATTTTGTATATATTTAAGACCTGTGAAAGTTTTTCCTTGGAGCATACGCATCCAGAATTTAGACTCTGGCTGACATCGTATCCCGTGGATTTTTTCCCGGTAGTAATTTTACAAAACAGTGTGAAAATCACTAACGAACCGCCCAAAGGACTAAGGGCTAATCTGTATAGGTAATTAGTAATTATTATTATTTATATCGCTATCGCTTATCGTTGTTTACCACGATAATGATTCGCCTAGATCGTTTACGACCGATCCGATTGTTAACGAGGATTTCTTCGAGGGTTGCAAACAAGCCGACAACTTCAAGAAATTACTGTTTGGTCTGTGTTTCTTTCACGCTTTGATCCAAGAGCGCCGTCACTTTGGACCTATCGGATGGAACCGGCCTTACGAATTCAACGAAACAGATCTCCGCATAAGCGTTTTACAGCTGCAAAATTTCCTAAACGAATATTTGAACATCCAATACGACGCTTTGCGATATCTGACTGGTGAATGCAACTATGGCGGCCGCGTAACCGACGACTGGGATCGTCGGTGTTTGACGACCTTTTTAAATAAATTCTATTCCAAGTCGATTGTAAAATTTAAGAATTACAGATTCGACAAATCCGGTAAGGTGGTTCAGATGTAAACGGTTGATCATGTGTACTTAAACTCGGCATAATTCCCATCAGGAATTTATTACTGTCCAAACTTGCAAAAATACGAAGAGTTTATCGAATACATTCAAGGATTGCCTCTGATCACGCATCCTTCTATATTCGGTATGAACGAAAACGCTGATTTGATCAAGGACCAACAAGAAAGCGATTTACTTCTTAAATCTTTGCTCAGCACACAGGTATCACAATATGCTTTGTTATAATATACTAACGCCTTTGATGTGGTTTCAGTCTAAACTGTTCGCTTATGCGTATGCCCAATAATTAGGATTTAGGTAGTTCCAGTGCCGGCAAAGGCGTTTCGCCGGAAAAGCTTGTCATTATGTTTGCGGTGGACGCGCTTCAAAAAATTCCACCTCCATTCGATACGGTTCTCGCTCTAGAAAAGTATCCGACTATGTACAACCAATCGATGAATACAGTACTCGTACAAGAAATGGGACGGTTTAACAATTTAGTGAACACTATACGGACTAGTCTGATGAACATTCAAAAAGCTATCAAAGGTACTTAATTACAAAAAATGTCCTCAATCAATATCCTCTAACGTATATTATTCTCTTGCTTGCTGTTTTACTATTGTCGTTGGTTAGGATTAATACTGATATCCAGTGACCTGGAAGAGGTGTACAACAGCATTTTAGTCGGGAAAATTCCGGCTGTCTGGGCAAAGAACTCGTATCCATCGCTTAAGCCACTCGGCAGTTATCTAATTGATTTCTTACAGAGAATGACATTTTTACAAGTAGGTACCTACTCCAAGCTTACAGTCCGCCAAACAATAATTATTATACGCTATTCATTATTGATAATAATTCTTGATTGTACAGTCTACGGATGCCTCGACAGTATTTTTCATTTCCGTACCATGTTGTATTTATATAAAATATAATAATATTCTCTGCAGAAATGGTATTTATACGGCGCTCCAGATGTGTTTTGGCTGTCCGGGTTTTATTTCACGCAAGCCTTCCTGACTGGCGCGCAGCAAAATTTCGCCAGGAAATACAGAATTCCCATCGATCTGCTGACGTTCGATTACAGGGTAAAAGCGTATAAACCGTTTGTTGCCCGTCCCACCAGCTATTAAGCAATTGTCGTTCCTTATAGATCATGGATAGATCCCTAATAGTAGAGCAACCGCCGGAAGATGGTGTGTATGTGTACGGATTATTTTTGGACGGCGCCAGGTGGAGCAACAAACATTCGGTCATAAAAGAGGCAAAACCGAAACAATTGTTTAGTACCATTCCGATCATACACATGATTCCTATTAAAAAAAGCGACGTTCATCTAGGCCAGGTATACTTGTGTCCTTTGTATAAAACGGCTGAGAGAAGAGGAACGCTTTCAACTACCGGACACTCGACGAACTTTGTTATTTCGTTATCGATACCCACCGACAAGCTGCCCGAGCATTGGATCATGAGAGGTGTTGCGATGCTTTGTCAGCTATCTCAATAAAAAAAAAATTAAATAAATATAGAAAATATGCTGAAAGATTATTGAGTTAAATTTTGTTTGAAAACCCTACCTATATATAAAACTTTTCCTACGAAACTTGATACTCATGAAATTCTCTATAAATTTGCTTCTTATACGTTTGTATATACTTGTATTTCTTTCAGGCTTCTTTCTTGACCTAACCTTAGAACATAAATACAACATTTTTAAACAGTAAACTTATAAAAGGAACCACTTTTATGGGAAAATTGTGAGTACTGAAAGAAAGGTTTTTAGGGAGTTTGACCACCCCTCAAAAATTTAGCAGATGGGTCGGGAATGGTATATGAGTATATTAGTTAGGAAACACCCCTTAATGATTTTCCGAAAAGAGTAGATAGCACTATTTATTGAAAAGCCTCACATGTTACCTCGTCTTTCATAATCAACCCAATTTTTGGACCATCCGCCTACACAATATGGAATTATTCAAATTCAGTAAATGTTAACCAACTATTTCTTAAGCACGATTTTGTGACAGATTCTAGCTTAAAAACAAGAAAATTATAGTTTGACTATGTCGCTATAATCGTGAGTGTATCAACAGCCAACAGACATGAAAAAAATAGTTATGTTATGAATGATATGTTATTATAGCCCAACAACCAACCCTAATCGTATGTATTCTAATACAGTAAATTTCAATTTAAGCACATATTTATCATTACAATGCTTCTAACGATATTTGTATTTCTGCCAGTACCGATTTTTTTTTACTAGGTATTTCAAACCTTTTGTGGATATTATAATAGGGTTTTTATTTTTCTAAATAACTGTGTATTTATTTTCTTACTCATAGTCATATTTAAAACAGACTGTAAGTTGTGGTTTTCGTTTATCTTGTGCTATTGAAACTATTTATTTAAAATAAGAAAAAAACACGTTTTGACATGATATTTTATAGGAACTAGTATCTTATAGGAACTTGAACAAACAGTTGCCGATGCTTGTTAGTCGTACCTACATAAATGCGTGCAATAGTTATATAAACATAATATATGTATATATTATATACATATCGGGTGATTCTTTTAACGCCTTACACTAGTTTACTCTGCAATATTGTAGCGTTTCTTTTGAAAACATTATAATTTTTGTTATAGTACGATATTATAAAATAATCAAATCTTTGTTTGTATTTGGTAACTATAGCTTTATCAATTGTTGAAACATAAATAGTTACCCATACATATTAAATCGAATTTTAAAATTAAGAATAATTTACTGATCAATAACCAGTTTTGAATAATTTTTTTAAAGTTTGTTTAGGTTGAAATTTAGGACTGGATGTGGATTGCGGTTGAGAAATGCGAGCAGATAAAAATAACTTTACTCTCCCCCCATCTCCCGTCCTATAATATAAACTTTAATAACTTAAAAACCATTTATTAAAAACTTGGATATCGACCGGTCAAAATATTCAGCAAATTATTCTTAATTTTAAAAGTCGCTAAAAATATATATTATAAATTAGGTATGATTTAAGTTTCAAAAGTTAATAAAACATTAGAAAATACTAAAAAAGATGAAACGGACTATGAACTCAAGGAGTTAATGCTAATCCGAATTCTAAAATCATAGTTACTAATTCGGTTAAAGCCAAACCATGTGCTACTAATCCGGATTATCAAACGTTTGCACTCTCTTAACTCAGGGAGATTTGGCTAGTTCGGTTTAAAAACATCATCAATACTTTTTTGTTTTACCTTCGACATTAGTTCTTTAATAATATTATTTGTAGTTCACTCGTGTGGCGCCGAACGATTACTTTATAGAACAGCTTGACCGAATCACTCGAATGGTCTAAAATGTGCTGTGAATGATAAATACAGTAGGTATATAATAACATGTTAATCGTTTAAATATAGGAAAAAATACTTTCCAGTCCGGTACATTCAAGTACTACTTTGAATATTATAATACACTATTCAGACAAAAATAAAACAGTGTTTTTTTTTTTTAGATCACGGAATATTCATCTTTAAAATCGTTCAGGTTGTGCTATGTGGAAGTCATTAAACTCGATTCTGTGACAGTATTTAAATAGGGTGAATAAGAACGGTTCGTCTATCATTATCATTATAAAGGGACGCCTTTTATAATAATTAAAACATATGTTTTCCCGTTTTAATAAACCGAGGTCCATACTAAGAATGAAGGTAAATACATTTTAAAATATAACAAGTATAGGAAATAATTTTAATTTTTAATAGAGTAATTTTTTTCCGAGAAAAAGAGTGTCTTAAATCAGATGGATCACCCTCTATATACAAGAATCGTGAATAGGATTTGACAATAAAAAAACATATTATTAAAGTAAAAAAAAGACCAGGCATTTTGAAACAATATTTGTTAAGACTTATGACCTAAATTTGTTGACAAAAATATTTGCGTTTGTTCCTTATGTTGTTTGTTTCAAGCTACTGCAAACCGGTATTTCGTTTAAGTTGAATTGTTTTTCCTAAAGTTTGTAGTCATCTTTATAGTAAAAAAGTCAAAATGGAAGCACGTAGTTTAAGATATTTGTATCTTAATTTTTTATTCTTAACCTCACAACTATCTAATGATGACCTAGAAGTAAGTACATTGTTTAAACTAAAATAATGTTCTGATAATAAATTTATTTTAAAATGAAATATTTTTAATAATGGCTTTTATATAAATAGAGTCGATAGTGCAAAAATAATAAATATTGTAAATTATATTTAATTTTTTTATCCAATAAATTATAGAAAATAAATGTTTTTTTTTGTTCAGTGTGCGTGACAATATAGTTGAGGTATTTGTAAATAAGACATTTTGATAAAGTAGTGTCGATAATATTATATGAAAAATATAAATACATAAATAAAGACTCTTTAATATATATATTATATAACAATAAGGCTGAAAAACGAAACTCATTATCATATTCCAGAGAGATTTATTTAATTTGTTATGCTAATTCCATTGGCATCAACAGATTATAAAATGTGGAGCATGTTTATGCAGTTTGAGTACCTGTTTTCTTAAACGGGCACTTAAACAAAACAAGCTACTACTTGATAATATGTCTAATTGGGTAATAAAATATATTTATAAAAAATTTCAGGCATTGAATAGAGCATTTAAACACATTGTCGGTAATAGTGAACATAACTACCATTGCACGGTGGATCAAGCAAAGAACTATGTGGGTGAGGAACACAGTAAAGAAGTGGAGAGATATGCAGATCTTAAAACACGTCAGTAAACTTTTTACTTATAAGTTAACCTTAACATCACAAACTTTTTTTACATAAATAATTGCAAAATGATAAATTGAAAAAAAAACACTATTTTAGCATCTAAACAAAAATACCTCAAATAAATATTTTAATTTTTACTTTTGTATTCGAACCACTTAAATATACTATGAATTTGTTTTTAATAACCTATATTTTTAGAGATGATAAATATATGGGAATTTTCAAAAATGATTATCAAATTAGCTAAAAACGAGAAGATGGAGTTACCAGACTATGTTAATGCAAGAAATATAAAGACAATAGACAGCTATGTTACAGTAACCAAGGATGAAGTTCAATCATCAGAAGAAGATTTATTAAGTAATTAACATTAAATAAGAATATTAGAAAATCTGGATATTTAAATTTTAATATTGACTATTGTAAATGTATCTCCAAAAATAAAACACAGCTTTAAAATAATTGTATTGTTTTTTTTTTATTGGATTATGATTTATATATTTTTAGCTTATAATTTACTTTAATTTGTTTATTTCTGTTTTTACATAGAATATGGTAAATTATACTACTGCAGTATAGTGTATAATTGAACTAATCATATAAAAATAAAACTGAATTTCTCTAGGAAGTATTAGAAATTTAAGAAAATTATTCGTAAAATAGATGATAGGAAACAATAAAAAAAAATATATGACAACAACCAAATACACTCGGAATAAAACACAATAATATGGTGTAATCTACAAAATAATTGATTAGATAATTCAACGGCTGATGTAAGCAGCAAGTATAAAAGTCAGACAATCCTGACGAGTCCTGTGGTCGAAAATAATAAAATAACATTGATTATAATATAGAGATAATTCGAAGAAAAAAAGTTGATAGAAAAATCTAAAAAAAAAATTATAACGTTCACATTTCGTTACAAGACAATTATTGTGCAAACTATTTTAATTAAAATACTTTTTTTGGATGTGCCAAAAAATGGCCAACCGACTTAAGGTTTTAATGATTTATAGTCTATCGACTGTGTTCACATAAATTAATTGAAAAATCGCTACTAAAGATTGTCAAAGTCGTTATTCTAGTTTTAACTTTTAAGACGGTCTTACGTGGTAAAGAAATCATCATGCATCTTAAATGCGCTATCTTCCTAAACTTTTTTGTCTATTTCCAAGCAGCCGACGCGCTCGATGAAACGGTAAATTCCGTCCATCTTGCTTTCTTGAAATTGTACCTTCGTTGGAAAATTACTTTTCTTGTTCTTATGGGTGCGTGTAATTGGCACATGATTGGTCTGTGTTGATTTCTAGGTGTGAGTTTTAGTATTTGTTTGTACAATAGGTTTACTATCTTATTACTTACAAAAATATTGTAATCCTTAAAAATATTATATCCTCACACTGACCTGAGATTAATAAAGCTTGTTCACATTTTTCGATATTTTTATTGTGCACTATCTGGTTTTATAATTTAATCTTCGATATTACATTAAAATCCCATGATGACCTCTCGTCAAAATATAAATCAGTACGAAAAAAGTTAGCAAATTTGGGTCAAATGAATTTCACAAAACTTAGTTGTCTCCTAATAATACAAACAGTGAACCGTGATAATTATCATACATCGTGAACAATACAACTATTATGTTATAGTTATTCGATGGTTTTGTAACGCCAAACTATTCTACTCGTTGAGAAATCACAAAACCAGTAAAAAAAAATAAAATAAAAAAATGCAAAAAAAAATTCTCCTTGAGCTCTTCTAAACTACATCTATTCGCCACAAGGCGTTCTTCGCGTTTTCACACTCGTCCGACCGAGTGACTGAAGGTTATTTACAATTTGTTGATTTTATGTTATTTAAATACATTTTTTTTTATTAGCTCTCAGTTAAAAAAAAAGAAAAATTATAGCTCAACAATCACAAAGTAACATAATAATATTAAATGTAAAAATTTAGTTTGGGTGTACATATACCTATTACATTTACAATAACATAATTGATTTATCGTGAAAAAATAAATTTTATTCAAATTACATAGAGGTTACCGGCTACGGTTGAGTATAAAAATAATAAACGTGATCGATTCCTCGAGTTAAAATGTTCAAGAGTTAGTAAGAATATCGATAAGAAAAATTGAAAGCACAAAAATGAAACTTAATTACACCATTATGTATTTAATTTATTCAATCGCGATAGTAAATTCGATCAGTGACGAGGAAACTACAATTTGTTCAACAATAACTTAAAACTAAATTAATTATTGGGGGAATATGATTTGAATAAAACAATCAATAGAGTATTTTCAATTGTTACCGCCAACAATAACGGCATTTTGTAAATGAACATAACTATGATTTAAAATTAATTTAACAGATAAAACATTATCATGTTGCTTGTTCAATGTAGTCCTTCAATGAAGTCTTTGGAGTTGATGTAATAAAATTCGCTACTTAACTTGTCCGTTTAGACCCTACAAATGGTAATGAAATCAATTAGTATTATATTTGAGCATATATTATTTTTTTATTATTATTCCTGTATGGAGTTACTCCTTTTGAAATCGACAAGCTCTCATCCCTTGTGTTTTATTTTAATAGACATCATTTTACTTTAGAATCACTAATGTTGATAAAAATATATTACAGTAAGATTAAAATAGCATTACAAATTCTATGTCGATTACCATATTCCTTTTGACATTCCACACTAAATACGTTTGGAGTACATTGAGACGTGCTTCATTGTCCACAAAATAGTCCGCCAAGTTTGTGTAATGTATATTGTTGTATCTGTCAGCTATTTTGTCAAATAGTTCCTACAAATAGTAACAAAATTTGCCGATACTATAATTGAACAAAAAACCATTTTATAGTCATTCCATTTATAATAGTCCACAAGCTGTTTGACCTTGTGTTTTATTTTTACCATTTGTATAGTTACAGTAAATAATGAATATAATAATAAGTATATCAAACTTCATAAGAAATCAATTTGAGCTATTACTAGCATAATGTATTAAAATTTAATATGTTTTTCAAAATTTTTGATGACGGCAGCTTTTAAGTAAAATAAGTTTAAATTTAATTGTTTTAAAAAATAAAAGCTCAATTAAATTTTTTATGAATTTCGACGTTTTTCTAATCATTGCAAAACAATTAACGTTTTATTAGTTAATTAATTAAAAAAATACTTTATTTATTGAATTATTTATTTTATAGGTTACTAGTCTATAGGAATAATTATTATAACTGAAATTGATAAAATCACTCTTAAACAAACGCTTCGATGCGAAAACAAGGACAGTGGGCCTCACTTTGGTACTTTTTTCTGTGCTGGTAAAATAAAGAAAACATTTTCACCTCTTCGTCATTGTAATTTTTTTTTTTAAATAAACACTAAGATTATGACAAAATTTGCTTACATCGACCCCCCCCCCAAAAAAAAAAAAAAAATTCCGAAAATTTAGCAGAATGGCGTTCATTTAAAAAAACAGGTTTTTGTTTAAAACTAAAACATGATTACTAGCATTGGTTTAATAACAAACAAAAAAAAATAATTGTGTCTCCAAATTCTGACTAGTCATAAAATACGCCATTTTGTCTATTATATGTCTAAAAAATGTTGGAAAAAAAATACGATTTGAATAAATCTTTTTTATTTCTTTAAATTGAACGAAAAGTAAACTGTAAAATACACTTGAAATTAATTTTGGAGTATTTTATTTGTATGTTATATTATCGAGAAAGTTTTTATCAATACATTAACATAAAAAAAAAAGGTATAAATAAAGGACAAACACTGTGATGTTTAAAAAGAAACCTCTATAACTTTGTTTTTTGTTCTTCTGTTGTGAATATATTTTAAGGACAAAAAAAATGTTCATCTTTTTAAAGTGTTTTTTAGAGGTTGTCAGTGTTCATTTTTATTATGTTTTTTTTCGCTTTCATAAAAAATGCACATTACAAAATTTAATGAGTCTCAATACTTATTCAATTAAAATATACATCTTATATTACCTATGCATTGGCTTTTAATGAATAAATCATTAAATAACAAAAAAACATTAAAACTCCCCTTCATCAATCTAGTTCAAAATTCATCTAAAATAAATCTTGATTATCTATTTTTCTAAATAATTCGGTAGACGATTTTTTTTTAAATGAGAAATCATATAGTTAAAATGTTTTTTAAAGAAAGTTTAAAATTCAATTTAATAAATAAAAAAATTTCTTTAAATGATTTAGAATTATAAACATTATTTTTTTAGGATCTTTTATAAAGGTTGAACACAATGTATGTTTAAGTTTTAGTTTACCGAATCAAATTATATACAGGGTGATTCTTTTATCATGAACCAGTCAATATCTCTCTGGGTTTAATAATTAACAATTGATTTTTTTTTTCATATTGTTTTTATACAATGTGTTATGTGATCTAAATTTTTCACATTTTTTTTTTGTTTTTACCCTCGTCCCAACTTAGATTTTTTGATAACAACTTTTGAAACTTAAAGGGTAACGCATATACTTGATTACCTTTTCAAATAAAAAATAATGTATTAAACATTTTGACTGGTTTAAAAGTTAGGATGAGAGGGGTAGTAGAGTGTAGTATTATTTTTATCTGCGCGCATTTCCCAACCGCACTTCCCCCCCCCTTCCTAACTTTTAAACTCTTATAACTCTCTAGTTCAAAAGGTAATAAAATATATTATACGTTACCATTTAAGTTTCAAAAGTCGCTATCAAAAAATCTAAGTGGGGAGAGGGGTAAAAAAAAACAAAATTATGAAAAATTGAGATCACATTGTATAAAAAAAAATATGAAAAAAATATTCAATTATAAATTAAACCCAGTGAGATATTGACTGGTTCATGATGACAGAATCACCCGGTACTATTATATTTTACCATTATTAGAGTATTATTTAATTTTGATAATAATGATATGCAAACATTAAAAACATGCGTAGGCAAGTTATTGTTGAACAAATATTAGTTACCTCGTCAGTGATCCAATTTACAATCGCGATTGAATAAATTAAAGTACACTTTGTTGGATTTAAATTTAATTTTTATGCTTAAAATCTTTGCCATCGGTAATCTTACTAACTCTCGAAGATTTTAACTCGAGGAATCGATCACGTAAATTATTTTTATATTCAACAGTAGCCTGTAACCTCTATGTAATGTGAAATAAAAATTCACCGATCTTTAGTGTAATATATATTTTTTTTAAGAACATAGCTGGCGTTTTCATCGAAAACGAGTATTTTTTTATTTTTAACCATATATTGTTTTATTATTTGTGTTGTTAAATGTGCGACCTATTTTTTTTGCACGGCGTACGTTTTGTGTAAAATAATACGGCATTGAAAACTGTTTTTGTAGAATGTTACACTTCTTTTAAAAAAGACAAAACTAATACCTTTACGATACCAACATATGTTTGTCATTTATTTGCATTGGAATATTTATTGTAAAAATTACTATACTCAATGTTAAGCATAATTTATAAACGTATCGTCGTACCACACAGAAATTTTAATTGTATACATAGCTAATGATGAAATTTTCTCTTAAATTTCTCGAAGTCTCTAAAGAGTTCTTTCTGTGTTATTTTCTAAACTACTACATCATTACCATGGAAATGGGTTAATATTCAATTGTTTGCTAATAACCAAGTCAAAATGAATATCTTTAAAAAAATAAGTTCACATTCCCATTAAGAGAAAAATTATATTATAATTTTATCGTCAATTATTTGTCAAACTATTTATCTTAGAATTGCTCTATAAATATTATGTTTTTATTTTTATTTTATCGCATAAAATACATATTTCATTATTTCATCAAATATTTCATAGTTTTTCATGTTGCAAACGATAACAAAAAAGAAATCAATATCAAAAAAAAAAAAAATGTATACAACGGGGGGCTTATTTGGGGGTCCCCAGATGTCGAATCACCTATTACTTACCTTTCATGCTGGAACAACCTGTATAAGTTTATTTAAGTAGACTCTACGGGTTTTTGTTTTTAATTAAATTTAGTTAACTCTATTAGGTTAAAATTATTTTAAAGGCCACGTGAAGTTTAACTTATCAGGATTACAATTAATTACCGATTTCTGATCGTAACTTAGAGAGGAGATTATTGATAAAAAAAAAATCAGCTGATATTAGATTGATGATAAGATAATTGACTGATGAGTGAAGGATGGACAAAAGAGAAGCAAAACAAAATAAAAACCTATTCATGATCAAATGTATTTCCTTCAAGAAAAAAACAAACGATTTAATAATGAACTCATTGGTTTCTCCGCTACATGGAAAATCCATGGTATATGTTTTCCCCCTCTCCTACCTGACCTTTTCCATTGTCTTCCTATTCCCTTCATTCCTCCTTTTTCCTCTGTGATCTGTCCAATGGCCTTTTCCTTCCTCCTAACCTAACCATACCTAACCTTAAATTTTTAATCTAAATCTAACCTAAAACCCAACTGAACCAATATCTGAAGCCATTATTAACTGTGTCTTATCATTACTTTTTTTTTTTGGAAATAAGTATACTTTATTAAAGCAAAGTTCAAGAGGTATAATGTGGTATATTAATATAAATAGATACAAGGTGATCATTGTATCGTAAACCACTCAATTAATTTTTTTCATAATGTTTTAATACAATTTGATCTCAATTTCTCACATTTTGTTTTTGTTTTTACCCCAACTCAGCCAACTTAGTTAAATGGTAACTCATACATTTCGTTGACTTTTTTAAATTGAGAATAATATACTAAAAATGTTGACTGGTGATCGATAACAACTTTTGGACAACTATGTATTTTTAAAATTATATAAATTTTAAGGTTAGGACAGTAGTATCGGCATTATTTAGTCAAAATATTCAGAAAACTATTCTTAATTAAAAAATGTAATTTAATACTAAGGTTACTACATCAAAACATTTTTAATTCATTGGGTCTTAACACACAAAGGATGTGATTGTATTAAGTAAGTAATTGACTGGGTCCTAATTAACCAATCAGCCTCTGGACACTGTTAAACCAGTATAATTGGACAACGGTTTATATAACCCATGAATAATTGAATAAAATGATTATCTAGACTTAAATTATTATAATGGTTAATTTGCATTTTACTTTTCGATGAAACGTGGTTAGGATTTTTCATAGAAATAAGATTAAAGATGTATTCATGAAAATATTATTTTTTTGAAGAATTTATCTATATAACATTTTTTTGTACTTAGTTCTAGTCGGTTTACTAACTACTATATTTTATTTTTACTGTTGGTTTAAACACCTTTTTGCTGTTTAACCTTGGCTTATTCAAATATACGCAAAACACATGTGGTGTTCTACTAAAAATGTGGGATTCTAACTTGACTTTTGTATCTAGATGAGACCAATAAAAAAAAAAATAGCTATTGTACCGTCTGTACTTGTATACTATTTCTTGCAGATAAAATATATATAAAAACAACATATTTTAGCGCTTATGTTACAGTTGTGGTGTAAATAACAATATTTCAGTTGCCAAATTTAAATGGCTACAATATTTTTCCTACAAAATATGAACAAATACATAATAATACATTGGTACCATTATAAGTACTAGTCTTATACATATGTAAATATTATACATACTTGTAACCCAAAGGACATTCCCTGTGACGACCAGTGGACTTTTTTTTCGTTTTGGTCTAAAACGAGAACCCTAATTTTTTTTAATTTTCCCATTAAATAATTGAAAAATCTACAAAAACATGAGAATATTATGATTTAAATGTCTTATGTTTATCATTTATATAATATATATATATATAAAAAACAAGTAACTTGATAAACATTATCCACATTCTAAATACAATAACTCGATTTACTGAATGTGCCGAATTGCCTATTGTTATAAATAACTGTACTGTCGTTTGAAATCAGTTTTTGGAGAGAACTCATTCTGAGGTAATTTTTAGAGTGACCGTTCCAAACATTGATTTGAAAGTATAAAGTCTAACGTGTGAGCTAAATGCACCTAAGTGGTACTGACAATTTTAGTTTTGTAATTATATTTTGTCGGCTTCGCGATAATTTGGCTGATGTTTATTTTAAATGTTGAGGTAATACCAACGGTCATTTAATGATCTCCATAGAATTCTACAACAGCACTCTGAAAGATTTGTTTTGTTATCGTTGTAGTTCTGCTAGTGTTATGACCCTCACGGCACACATTTGAAAACTCCTCAACGCTGTACCCCAATTGATATTTTTCACCTTATTCAAGTGCTATGGCTCAGAAATTATAATATATTAAAAAAAGGACTTATATCGTTATACAGGTACAGAAATTTACTATAGAAAGGATAGAAAAAATATTTTATATGACTAATCCAATCTTGGGACAAAAATATTATTTTTAATCTAAAAATTGGTCTTTTTATTTAAAAACCCTAGTTATTTTCTCCGCTCCACGGAAAAACATTGAATCGTTTAACCAAAACATATCCATGATAAAATCAGGTAAATTTTAATAGTAAAATACATAATTCAAAAAAAAAAAAAATGATATAATTAAGGCACATAATAATTGATAAAATAATATCGTTAACAATGTATTTAATTATAACTATTTATCAGAATTAGTAGGTATAACAATAAGATGGTATCTATTATAAAACTATCATTCGTTTAATATCCAATGTAAATGTTATTGTTAGTTTTTAAATAGTCTTATTTGCTTAAAAAAACAATCTGTGTTTATTATGTACTTGAGATTTCGGTTTTTGTAATGCGAAAAAAAACGGATGCAATGAATAATATTTTTCGGTTTTTTATTTGAACCAAATATTGAAATAATATTGTATTCTCGACATAACAACATTTAAAGCGCCGTAGGTATGAATACCGAGTAGTTTCACGGTAGTTATCTTAGAAAAAATTGAAATGCATTTTAATAATATTCTGTTTTTCTGCGTGGCGGCGCAATGCTTTTTGCATTGTCAGAGTGTTATTGAACTTTTTCCAGGAGAACAAGTGAGTATAGCAAGCACTTAGTATTTATGGTTATTATGAAATGCTGAAATTCTTGCTTAAATGTATATATACATACATTATACAATAATTTTTTTACAAAATTTGTCTTGTTTTTTTTTTTGCAATGTACATTTTTACGTTTTGACGGTTTTTTCAAGTAATTTTTTACTCGTTATTTTTTCTATCCTTTTATATATTTTCGGTTTTCGGCACAATATAGTGCAACAATTTGGCAGTACACATAATATTATATCAGCTGGTAGTTTGGCAATTTGTATTTCGTTAAACAAGGCGTAGAAGGTTGGATGTTTAAATTATAATACACATTTTAATTTTCAATGTTATCCTGTAATCAATAGGAAATGATAAGAAACGCATTCGCAAAACATACAACATATACTCAATATTTTGTAGACGTACACGGCTTTAACCAAATAATTGACTACGTAGAACAGATATTGTCAAAAACCATTCCCAAATTTAATGTAGAGAATATTGAATTAAGAGGTAAGCTTAAATTAGCCTGTTTTAGTTATTTAAATAGCTTCTGGTTGTCGCAATAAAGCTAAAAATGTTTGGTATTTGATACTTTCAGACTATAAATTTGCTATGGAAGAAGTTGAACGAATCATCATGGTATATTTAATTAGCCATGATCCACAAGTAACGGTGAATATAAAACTATATTACCAATTTAAAGCTCGTTAGGTTGTATGTACAAGTATATTTTCAATATTCTCAAACATTCTCTGCTACCTTTATAAAACATGTTTATTTAATATTTTAGCATAACATTAACTTGCTCCATTATTTTTATCTACTCGGGGCTCAACCAATAACGTTTTTCTTAAACCAAAAAAAAGTTTATACTTCCCACCAATAATGCGATGCGGTTTTTTTTGTAAATGATTTGGTTATTGATTTTTTACACAACAAAATTGATAAATAAAAGAACCACCTCAAACGATTTCTTCTAGCTTTTGTCCCTTAAATGGAGAACTTCTTTAATTTTTTACCATCTGTATAGTAAAAATGAATACAATAAACATATTATGATATTACAATAAAAAATATAATTAGCTGTGTATGGCGTGTTTTAAGATACCATCCAATGAAGGAACTCCAATGAGTGGTGTTAGTTAGATAAGAAATGGAGAACTTAAATATAAAAAATTTCTCTATCCTTTTGTTTTTTTTTTCTAATAAGTAAAGAATGCTTTGACTACTAAGAAAATTATGTTATATTTTGAAATAAATCTCAATGTACATAAATGTAGTAGTTTGGAATTTTAAGGCCACTAAACAAGATGTTATGTTTAAATTATAATATACATTTTAACGTTTAATTTTTGTTCTGTTAACAATAGGAAATCGTAAGACAAGCGTTCATACAACATAACAATAATGAAAATTTCGTAGACGTCGTCGGCCTTTATAAAATAATTAAAACCGTGGCAAGGAACTCGTCCAAAAAAAAACCTAGGCTTGATGTTATGAAAAAGGCGTTAACGGGTAAGGTAAAAAAAAAAAAAGTAGAAAACATTTAGTGAATGTGTTTAGTAAAACTTCCAACAACTTGAAAAGACATTTTGCGGTTAAATTTGCCTGTTTTAGTTATCAAATGAATGTACGATTATTTGTACTTTCAGACAGTAAATTTACCATGGAAGAAGTTAAAAACATCCTCTTAGAATATTTATATGGCCAAGATTTGCAAGTACTGGTAAACAAAAAAACTATGTTACAGATATAAGACTCCTTGGGTTGTTAGTGAAAATATTCAATTCTGCTACCTGTATTAAACAGATTTCATTTAATCTTTTAGTATAATATTATTATATTATACTAAAAGATTATATACTTACTCCATTTTTTTATCTACTCGGGTCTTGACCAACAACGTCAATACATTTTAACGTTTAATTCTTATTCTGTAATAAATAGGAATTGATAAAGAAACTATTCGCATATTATAAAAATAATCAAGGTGTTGTAGACGTCGACGGCCTACACAAAATAATTAGATTCGTAGGAAGGAAATCGTCCAAAAGAAAACCCAGTCTTGATGTTATGAAATCGGTATTAATAGGTAAGGTAAAAAAATAAAAAATAAAACAACATTCAATAATTGTATTGAATCCTATCGAATTTTGAAAATACAGCGTGTCATTAGTATAACTGAAAATATTTCTTTAAACTGAGATAGCAAATAAAATTAACGACACGTGAGGTTTGTAGCTAAATTTGCCGCCAGTTTAAGTTATTTAAAAAATGTATGTAATTTTATATGTTCAGATAGTAAATTTAACTTGGACGAAGTTAAAGAGATCATCTGCGAATATCTTTTAATCTACCAAGATCCGCTATTACGGGTAAAATATAAAAAACTATATTACACATAAAACGCTTGTTCTGCTATGTGAAATCGGTTTAATTTAATCTTTTAGTATAATATTTACTTGCTCCATTGTGTTATCTACTCGGATCTCGACCAGTAACGCTTTTATCTTAAACCGAAAAAAAAAATTATATTTCCGTCAGTAGAGCAATGCAATATGATTTTCTTAGTAAATGATTTTTTACACGACAAAAACGATAACCAAAAAGAACCAATCCTAAACGATTTTTTCCAGTTTTTGTCCCAGAAAGGGAGAACTTAAATAACAAATATTTTTTCTTTCTTATAAGAAAAACACCACTAAGAAGACGACATTATTATACTGAATTAATTCGCCACACACATACACCTGATGGAACGAAGTGTTATGTTTTAATATTATAATGTTTTAATTCTCGTTCTGAATACACCAGGAAATAATACGAAAGGGGTTCCAACAACATACAATTTATAAAATTAGTTTTGTAGACGTCGACGGTCTAAAAAAAATAATTGACGACATAGCAAAGAAATCGCGCACGTCCAAAAATACACCCAGTCTTGATGCTTTGAAAACAGTATACAGAGGTAAGGTAAAATGACATTCAGTAAATGCGTTGAGTGAAATTTCCAACAGCTATTCAATTTAACTAAAAAGCATCACTCGTGAACCAGATAAAATATAAAACACATCATTTGGTGGTGTACAATAATAAAAATTAACGAAATGTGAGATACATGATAAAGTTTTTTTAATTATCTATAATTACCTCAGTTTGAAATAAATATACTTCCAGTATAATCATCATTATTCTCAATTCCATTGCATGGTTAAATTTGCATGTTTTAATTTTAAAAAAAACCGTATGATATACTTTGTACTTTCAGACCGTGAATTTACCTTGGATGAAGTTGAAAACATGGTCTTGGAATTTTTAAATTCCCAAGACCCTCAAGTACCGGTAAATAAAAAAAACTATATTACAGATAAATGGCTCGTTAGGTTGTTTATTTTAATACAATATGTTGAACAGATCCATTTTTTTTCATCTACTGTTATTATGCTGGCATATTTGTTTGGTAGTTGGGCGTTTTTATTTCGCCAAAGTTGAATCAGTTTTGCCTGATAATATTGTAATACACATTTTAATGTCTGTTGTTGTTTTAATAAAAATAGATAATGATTAGAGAAATAGCCGAGAAACACGGAAATTACATGGACTATGAAAAATTGCTACTTGTAGTGGAAGAAGTGTCAGTGAAAATGGGCATTACCAAACTTTTTCCTACACTTGCTGAATTTAAAGCGGCTGCAACAAGTAAGAAGCAATTATTGAAATGTATTCAATAAATGTGTAGAGTAAAATTTCGTAAACTATTGAAAAGTTATTTTCACCATCAAGTGTTGTATCACTTAAATACATAAAAATTATTTTATTTTTAAACTTATAAGTCGTAACTCTAGCAGATAAAACATTATTTTGATGGTGTACAAAAAAAAAAGACGGTAATAAAATGACATGGGTACATGATCAGTATTATTAAAAAAAATGTATAAATATTACTAAAAATATACAATTTAATACTACATCATTATTATTAAATTACAACAATTCAAACTGTAACAAAATGTTACTCTAAAATCATTTGCGGTTAAATTTGCCGAATTTGGTTTTTTTAAAAATGTATATTATTTTGTACTTCAGCTTATAAATTTCCTATGGAAGAAGTTAAAAGAATTGCCTATGAACACGTGAATTGCAATCATGAGTCAATTCCGGTAAATAAATTACTATAATAGTAATACACATTTTAATGACTAATACTTATTCACACAACAATAGCTTATGATAAGTCCCATACTCGAAAAATATAGCAAGCCAAATGGTATTAGCTACGAAGAGTTGATACATTTCATTGAAGAAGTAAATCAGAAAACCGGCTCGACGGGAGTAATGCCCCCAATTGAACAATTGGAAGAGGCATATGCAAGTAATAAACAATAAGAAAATATTCGATAAATGTGTTGAGTAAAATGTTTAAAAACTATTGAAAATACATAATATTTTCAATAATCAAATGTGTCTCATTTATTTAACTGTGGTCTGTAAATAATTATTTTATTTTTTTAAACAAAAAAAAACTCGTGTACCAGACAAAAAATTGGAAAACCTAGAGGACCTTTTTTGATGGTGTACAAAATAAAAAAAAATTAGCATAATGTATTCATACATAATCAGTTTTATTAAAAAAAAAATGATGAATTATAAGAACTTATAATTTAATACTACATTATTGTTCTTAAATTACGATAATTTGCTAATAAAAATGTTTTACTAAAGTTTTTAACCTATTCATTTATACTCAACTCATTTGCAACTCATTTTGGTCTGTTTGAAAAATGTAAAAAATTTTCTATTTTCAGGCTACAAGTTTTCTGTGGAAGAAGTTGTAGAACTCGTCCGTCAATTTGTTTATTTGACTATTTGATTATAATGTCGACTGTTATTAAAAATTTCATGTATAATACTTTTTTAGTATATCACAATATACAATATTGTAGTTTTGACTGGTTACCAAAAATAATTTTGCTCTCGTATTTTGCTAGTATGTATTTTATTACTTTTAAGTATTACGATCAAAAATTTCCATACGTTTTTATGTCGCAAATGACACATTGATCAGGCCGAGGTTAGTAAAGATAAAATATAATGATATAGTAATAAAGTAAAAGTTATTTTCAACATATCTTGGTTGAGAGAAAGGGAGGGGGGAACTTCGTTTAATGAAGATATTTTTTAATTTAAACGGCCTGAATAATAAAATAGCGTACACCATTTGTCTTTACAAGACTAGTATAAAAGGAATAAAACGGTCATATAAAATGTATTTTCTTGGTCGACAATATTATTTTGTTCTTATAATTTGTTGTTACTATATACATACATGTATGTACTTATAATTTAAACAAATATCAATTCCGATACAATACAGTTTGTATAAATAATGTTAACGTTTTCCAATGACATATTAACAAAAAAAAATAGACCAAAGCATAAGTCTCAACTGTATGTGAACAACAAAAATCGCTGTTTACTTATGGGTTTTTTTTTAAAAGTTTTTGTTCTATCGTAAGATAATTTATGATTTAAGATATATTATGTTTTGTACAACTGTTGTACGTACTTTAAACTTAGTCAGAAACATACATTTTGGTGCGAAACAACAATAGGCAAATTTTTATTTTCTAACAAGTCTCGTACACGTCACGTACATATTTTGAACTACAATGTTATCGCCTTTTATTATTTTAATAATATTAAATTAATATATGACTTTATAAAGTCTGTATGGAAAGATTACCTAACCTAACTGATCTAGCCCAGTTTACTTTAATGATCTTCGTCGTTAATGGTTTTTTCTGTACATTTTTGTCTTTTACAAAGATGAATCCTGTGTGTACAGTGTACTGTCGATAAAATTAATTAAAGATGTTGTTTTTCTCTAAAACGCACCTTTTTGTCGGGCATTTTCTTTAATTTGTACCATCTATCTCAATACTTTCATTGATTTGCTTATGTAACCAATTAAAATAGTAATTACCCTTCTATACTCGATAATTACCATTATAAATACTCTCTAAGCACAACAGGTGAACATAATCTATCTCTCTCTCTCTCCCTTGAAGCACTGCCACGCATATGAGTCTTCAAACAAGGGTTATCATTATGTACTATAAAGTTCAAACAAATCATACGTGATTTTAACTTCCATAGAAAGATCTCAGTTCTTACTATGTATTCTAGCAGCCTTTTTTTTTAGTTTTAAATATATTTATACAAAAATGTACTTGTATAAAAACCTTCAACGAGCAGTAGAGTGGATTTTCTCTAAAATTATGTGAGAAAGTAATAGAGTGAGGTCATCTCAACAATATCTTTTTAGCATTGATTAAATAGTTTAGTAAAATCTTAATGTATTTATTCACTTTAATTTGAATCTCATTTCGATCTGGAGTTAAAAATGTTTGGTTTTTACGTAATGTGTTTTTTCTTTTTATGTGTGTTTAGTCTCACGCTTTCTTCTAATCCACTGAACTCATATTCTTTGAAGACATGGCCACAGATCTGAAATCGGACCTGAAAGGAACTTAATTGGGTCAAGAAAACATCTAGTTTACAGCTAAATTGGCAATGCTGATTTGTTTTTAGGTGTTTACTCAAGAGCACACATGTTTATTACTAAACTTGGTTTGTTTAAGCATAAAGTAAAAAATATTGTTTTTTATACGTGTCTATTTATCTTACAAGAAAAACAATGTAACATAAAAAAAATATGTTTTTTCTACATCCTACAAAACTTGGAACTGATTTCAGTCTTGAAGTATATCTGCTTACAAAAAGTACTGCGGTAATTCAGAGAGATAAATTTAAAAAAACTATAGGTATAGCTGCTGTGGTCATTAAATAGTTTCAAATCAGTTTTAACTTAAAATCTAATAATTAAATATTCTAAATCCGATTTTAGTGTCTGAAAAAAATTAACATGCATTTAAAAAACATTTTACTGCTATTCTGCGTGGCGTTATACTTTTTGCAATGTCAGGGTGCTCTCCCATCTTATGAAGAGCGTGTAAGTATAACGAGCACTTATATATTTGGTAGTTTGGAGTTATGATGTTTAAATTATAGTACATAATTTAACGTCTAATTATTCTTATTTTGAAAACAATAGGCAATTATTTTTGACATTGTCAAGAAATATGAAAAGCCAGATGGCATAGACATTGAAGGAGATGGCGTGCGGACAATAAACTTCGAAGGTGTAAAAGATATCATAAAAGAAGTATTGCCGAAACTCCACAAACACAAAGAACTTACCAGTCTTTCTAAATTAGAAATGATAGGATCAAGTAATAAACAATAGACAAATACCAAATAAATGCATTAAGTAAATTTTTCAAAAAATGTTGAAAAGAAATTGTAATAATCAAGTTTGTTAATTATATGTATAGGTGCACTCTTTTATATTTTTCAGCAAAAATTCTGAACTCAAAAACCAAATAGAATATTAAAAAAATTAGGGAGATTATATTTATATTAGTGTACAAAAAAAAAATTAGTAAAATGAGAGATATAGAATTAGTCTTAAAAAAATGTATATTTAAATGTCGATAATAGTATAAAACAGTATAATATTAATTAACAACACATTATTTTCAATTCCTTCTGGGCAAAATTGTTTTTATTTGGTTATTTAACACATTTGCAATATTTTGTGATTTCAGGCTATAAATATACATTGGAGCAAGTTCAAACATTTGCCAAAGAGTACTTACAATTAAAAGAATTAGGTCCGGTTATTGAGGTAAACAAAAAACCATATTACAGACAAAATACTAGTTAAGTTGTAAATATTCCAAATTTCAACTATTTTTAATAAATTAGCTTGCAATTCACCTTGTAAGATTTTTGCTGATTTGTACAATTTTTAAAATTATTGTTTAGAGCATTAATCATGCTTGTGAGTTTTTTTAATATCTATTTTAAATCTATATTGCTAAGATCTATTATCTATTATGTATGTATATTTTTATTTATTCTAAAATCAATAGAATACACTAAAAGAACTATTCTATCAATATAAATTCGGACACAGAATAAAATTTCATGATTTAAAACACCTGCTTGGCTTATTACGTTCTGGTAAAGTAGTAGAAGAACATCCTGATGCTGAGTTTCCATATCTTAAGTACCCGAAAACGGCAGTACCGTACAAACTGGAGAATTCAGGTAATAATCAATAAGATTTTTACTAAAAAATCATATATCTCAGACCAGACAATATATTGAACAATTTTTAGTGTACAAAATAGGTAAAACAACATTTGAGATATAATGATTAGGGTTTTTTTAAATGTGTTAAACTGTACTGATAATATGAAATTTTAATTTACATTACTATTCTTTACTTACAATATTTTTAAATAAAACATTTTTGCAAGCGTAACACATTATTATTCACAACTTATATTATGCTGTTAAGTTGACCTGATTCATATGTTTAAAAATGTATTATATTTTGTACTTTCAGTTTACAAATTTACTATAAAGGAAGTTGAATCAATCGTCATTCAACATTTGTACCACGGTAGTTTTATTTAATTATTAACTGTTTATATATTTATATATATATATATATATATTAACAGTGTATTAACATACGATTATTGTAGTTTTGATTAAATAATAAATAATTTTGTTCTATTATTTCATTGTTTTGATTTTTTACTTGAAGTATAATTGCCTGATCCCAGCTGATTGAAATATGGATAAATTTTTGGACTGGATACCCATTTGAAATATGTGTTACGTTTAAAACCGTTATAGATTCGCATCAGAACGTATATTTATAAATGTTTTTATCACTTTCAGTTGTAATAATTCATCCAGATTTGTGACCTTTTCCACTCAAATACGATTTGTCCCAACTATGATTTGACCCCACTGTACTGTTTTTTTTTTTACTAAAACACTTTTTTTATAACCGCTAAAAGTAATTACTGTTATAACGAATATATGCACAGCTATGGTCTATATATCAAATAATAACAAAACAAAGTACAGAACTAAAGTCTGAAATTAAATATAAAAAAGACATCTGATGTTACTCAATTACAATAACAAGTTTTTCAGAAAACTATATTTTGAACATCTATAACTTATGTATCATAAAAAAAAATTATTAACAAAAAAAAAACTGTATATTTTACTTATGTAAAAACGTACACTTGAATACGGTTCAAAGGAACAAATATTTTTTCAGTAGAATTAAAAATTGTACTGTATCGTTTAACGAATAATATTATTTTATATCTAAATTTTCTTTTATTTAACAAATATGTTACGCTCAGCGGTCGTGGTGGACTGATCGCAAACGATTGCACATTAAATAAACGAAAGCCATCCTAAATTTTGGACATTCTAGTGTAATAACAAACTTTTAAAATTTTAGTTTTTTTTTAGATTTTGGGTTTCTTAAATTTAGTTGAAATAATAATTTTACACTTTTTCGTAAGCAACGTAAAAATGCATCCTTATAATATAATAAGGGGTTCAACTCGAGTTTGAATATTAGTAATTTTCGCTGGTATTTAAGAAAAGAATTTGGGCAAAGTGATAGCGAAAATATTCATCAAATATAAGAAACCAAAATAATTTAAGGAGAATTTGGATTTACAAAATATCTATCGTCTAAACTCATCACATTGAGGTCTGCGTCGTGGGTACTCAAAATACTACTTCTGTATTGGCATTAAATAGGGCAGTTATGTATGAAAAAATAGGTAAAAAAATACCTTTACTGTATACCCTGCCTCCCGTAAAAAATGAATGTCTTACAACAGGTTAGGTCACCCTGTATTATCAAAAACATATAGCTTAGCACCAAAAGATATACATTCAACTTAAAATGTTCATGGCACGCTTGTGAAACGTATATTAAATTTATATAAACAATAAAATGTTTTGATGTTTACTTTACACCATAGGGTACATAAGAAAAAACCAGCTGCCAGTTTTGTTTTGCTTTATTTTTCGAAAAATGTTTTCTGTACTTACGCCATATTGCTCAAAATGTGCTTCAAATTTTCGATAAAATGTAAAATCTTAGTTGATTTAAATATTAAATTTGTTTAAATACCTATATATATATATTGTCTGTCGCATACAATTGTAGTTTTGGTTAAATAATAAATCATTTCGCTCTTTTATTTTGTTATAATTAATTTTATTGCTTTAAGTATAATTACCCGATCCCAGCTGATTTTTAACACAGATAAGTTTTTGGGGTGGATACACATATGAAACTGCATTTCGTTGTTTTATTATAAAATGAAGTCTTGCGTTAAATAAGAAAATTACTGAAAACCTTACAAATTAGTTAGTTTTCAAATGCGTTACATTTTTTAATGAAATTTGATTAATTACTCTATATTAATTGTGTCCTAATTAATTTTGTCATACAGTGGTTTTAACCTTTTTTTTTTGTCTGGAACTAAGATAAAAAAAATGCTTCAAATAAATAAAAAATTCCGTAGTCAATTTCTAGGCTGCTATGTGTAAGTGAATCAACAGTCAATGTATATTTGAGAATATTTTAAATATTATTTATGATGTATCGGTAACTTTGGCAATAAATTATTACAGACAGACCATCAACCCTATTCGTATTGACCCTAATACAATTAGGATACATTTTTAAACTATATTATTGGCATTAGGTTTAATATGATTTTATCAATAATTGTATTTCTACCATTACATATTCGCATCGGAGCGTTTATTTTAAACACACTAAAACCTACATAAATTCTACATTTTTGCACTAAATCCGCTCAAACCTAGACCAAACTCAAGAGAATTTTGTCAGCAATCAGAATTTCCGGTCAAATTGCCCATTTTTATGATTTAAATTTTCAAAATTTACAAACAACCAAAACTTTAACCTAGCTCAAAATTTTCAAAAATCTGAATTTTTTTTCCAAAAGTACCACACCAATATGGCTGTACTGTGGCTTAAAAGATTCACAAATGTCTCAGGTTGCCTTTTAACCTATACATATGTGTTGATTGTACAAATATTTTTAAAATAGCAAGAATAAACTAGGTTTCCCCAAGGTATATCCAACACAACACACTAATGACTACTTGAATTCTAAACCAAAATTTCGATAAGGCTCAAAAATTTCGAAAAACTGAAGAAGAAGATGAAAGAAGAAGATGATGAAGAAGAAAGAAGGAGAAGAAGAAGAAGGAAGAAGAAAGAAGAAAAAAAAGGAGAAGAAAGATGAAGAAGATGAAAGAAGGTTAGGTTTAAAATATAGACCCAATTCGAAATTTACACCTAATATAAAATATACAACCAATATAAAATATACACACAATATAAAATATACACCTGATTTAAAATATAGACCTAATTTAAAATATACACACAATTTTTCTTTCTTGTTCCTCTTTTTTTTCTTCTCCTTCTTCTTCTTCTACACCAGATTTAAAATATACACACAATATAAAATTTACACAAAATATAACATATACACCTAATTTAAAATATATATTAAATTTGAATATGGTATATATTTACACCAGATCTGTTGTATATTTTAAATTTCGTGTATAAAATATACACCAGATCTGGTGTAAATATTTACCAAATTCAAAATTTGGTGTATATTTTATATTTTGTGTTTATTTTAAATTTGGTGTATATTTACATTAATATTTTTGTTGTTGGTGTAGGCATGACAAAATAGATAGGTATGATGTCAAAATACGAGTTTATGAATCGAATGCGCAGATATGGCGATAGCTTTTCTCCGCCTGTGATTGGCTATAAATTATATCTTATCAGGAAATTATATGCCCGCCAAAACTTTAGTTTGTAAATGATGTATATAATAAATAGAACTTAATTAGAGAATTATTATCATTATAATGATTATAATTATTATTATTTATAATTATTATATTGATTACTACCGCCTGATAACGTTTGGAGAAAAGCAAGATGGCTGATACTGCGTATCACGACAATTGACATCATACCTATCTATTTTGTCATTTGTCTTTTGTTGTAGCACCCGTCGAGTACACACGTGTCTCCGGCAGCTTCGCGTCATAGTGTTTTTTTGTGCGAGTTATATGCGTCTGTTTTTTAAAACTTTAGCTAAATGACGATCTCTTGATTTACACGCAACGTCCAGCTTGTTTAATTATTTAAACGCACTTTTAGCACGGTGACAGCGGAGTCGCCATGAATCTGTAAATGCATTAGTTTCCACAATTTAATTAAAATCACTTGAGGGTTAGGCGCACGGAATAATTGATAGCTATACTTATTGTAGTGCAAAGAAAAACGAGTGACAATAAAAATAGAACCTCAGAAAAATGTTTGTTTTGCCTGCCAATCACTAAAGAATTATCTGATTCCTTTGATTTTACTGATTTAACGGTTATAAGTTCAAACCAAATAATTTGTTTTTAATTGAGAGCATGCCTCTGGATTAAACCTTCGTACAATCATTTCTATCTATAAAATTTAAATAAATACATAAGAAAATCGGTAAAAATGACTTCTATCTGGAACTAGTTTACAATGGTCTCTAAAACGATATTATTAAAATCAATAAGGTTCTTTTTGGCAGATCGGTTAGGCTTAAATCTATACTGCTTATCAACTAAAATAGAATTAATCGAGTGCTGAATATTACTCAGAACTATCTATTCGAAAAGTTTCACAGTGTGGTTTAAAACTGAACTCGGTCTATAATTTTAATTTACATAGGTTTTATCTCTAAGTCCAAATTGACAAACAGAATAGTTAATATTTGTAAATAACTAATGCTAATTGTGTATCCGGTTTTTTCTTTATTTATATTTTCAGAAAATTGTGTGACAGTCATATTTTTTTAAAGTTCATTATTTTTAGTGTTAACACTAACTATTTTAGTATACATTTTTTTTAGTATCAAGTTGTTAATACATAATCATAAATCATAAGTCAGATGTACACATTAATATGTTGATTAATCTACACAATGAAAATGTATTTCGGTGCTAGTAATATTTTTATATTATCCCGATTTTAACCTTTCCTTCCACGCCGTATCTGAATCCCAAATCGTAGAAACAACTATCAAAAATGTCATTAACATAACAATCTATTTCGTTCCCTATGTAGTCCACTAAAGTCATTTCCTGCGGTATTAACTGGTTGCTCTTTTTGTGCACAAAATTTTCGTAAAATTGCTCTGCACTCCATTCTGTGTGTTTCGTATTGTCACAGTTTCGGAAGATAAAACTGTATACTTGGATATATACTTCGGAGAAATATGCACTGATTTTTTGTATTTCAACGTCGATCAGGTCCACGTCGATACCGCTTGCCGGCATTTTTGATGACGTTGCTGGACCTACAGTTGAAGTATACTCGATCAATATTTCGATGGTGGCCATTAAACTACATTTACGTCCCAATTGTGGAACTAGCGAGTAAAGAAACTCCAACGCGTCCTTCATGCATTTAAACCTCGGCGACACGCTGTGAAGTTTGATCAGAAGCAAACGAAAACAATCGTAATACCATTGTTGCGAATAGTAAGACCTTTGT